CAGCACCTCCCACCTCCCTTGTACTCAGTCCACATAATCCCTCTATTCCTCTCTTCCTCTCTTCCCCTCTTTCACTATTGCACATTCCCATCTCCTTCCCTACACAACCATAAAATACACCAAACACCCACCACAAATCAAGACATCCCTTTACCACAAAACCATACATCCCCATTCTCCACCTCATCTCCACACAACCCACCTCCACCCCCCCTCTCTCCCTCCCAATCCCCCATTCCCTTCCCTGTACTCAAATAACATACCACCACCCCCAAGCCCCCGTCCTCGCAAACGTCGCCAGGAAAGCTTCTTTTTGGGGTGACACCTGACCTGTGATCCGTCCGGTGTGGTCGCGGTGGTTACAGTATTTGCAGCCTGTTGAGGTGTTGGTGTGTTCTTCTCCTTCGGGGGGTTGGTGGTGATGCTGGTAAGTGTGAGATTGTGATTGTATATGCACCTGGGGAGATCGATGAGGAATATCGGGATTAGTAAGATTACTTGTATAGATAGGATGTCGTATATATCGTTGAGGAGGTGTATACGTACACGTATTTTCCTCATGATCATTCCCGCTATACTCACTCCTACTCTCCGAAGCAGCCTCCCTGGTCAACTCATCGATCCGTGTTTGAATCCTATCTCAATTCTGGATTCCACTTCCTCCCTCCGACTCCACTTCCACTTTCCTATCTCTACTCCTAACCACCTCTCTCGTCCGTACAGCCGGCGGGGAAGATCCGAAGACGTTGATTTTCTGCTGGATCTCTTCTGTATCCTCTTGGGTGTTTGAAGGTGTTGAGTCGGTGTTCTGGTTGTGGGTGTGGATGTTTTGTGGGGTGGTTGCTGATATGTGAGGGGATGAGGGGAGGGTTGGTGGGGGGTTTCGGCGTGTGTGGATTGCATGGGGGGGTTTGGGGGGTACCATTTTTTTCTGTCCTGGTGGTTTGGGTGGTGTGATGGATATTTATAGGTAGGGATTTGGGGATTGTGGTCTTGGGTGGGTTGGGTAGGAGCGAGATTGGTGTTGTGTCTTGAGTTGTGCTGGGCTTGTGGATAGATGGCGATGCTTTGTGGAAGACTTGGTTTCCTTCACTTTGATTCTCGGTTGATGGTCTTTGGGGGTTGTCGAGGTATTGGGGGTATAAAGAGTTGTGTCGCCTTTCTCGCAAAGACTTCAATGGCACGGTGTGGGCAGATGGAGCCTCGTCCGGGCTTCGCTTCGTTTTGATATAGCTCTCTATCTATCTTCAACCTAGTGAATACATGAGTCCACAACCCATCTCCCCCCTCTCAAACCCTCCCTCTCCCCATAACCAACCCCCATCTCCTCCTCCTCACAACCAACAGCATCCCACAAAATTACAAATTTCCTCTTCCCAATTCACCCACCCTTCCTCCCTCGCCCCACTGCCATACCTCTGTAACCCTCAATAAGCAACCCCCTACCAGCATTCAGATCCCGCTAATTCAAAAAGTACGTTCGTGGTCCAATGGATCACGAATCGAGCTGCGCGATCTGATTTGCGAGATGAACCAACTTCTTCCAGCGTCCTGCGCTTGAGGATGCAGAGTATAGTCGGCGCCTAGGGCATTTTTTTTTTTTGGGTGGTTTTTTTTGGGTGGATTTGATTTTTTGGGGATTTGTTGGTTTTTTTTTTTTATATTGGGGGAGGAGGAGGGAGAGGAAGGGTTGGGGTGGTGGTGGGATGGTGAAGTGGTTGGTATGGTGTGGTGTGGTGGATGTGAGGTGGATGTGAGGTGAAGTTATGGGAAATTGTTTTGGGGGAATGGAATCTCGCTTAGCTATGGGCACCGGGTTTTACTGGGCTGGTTGAAGTGAGGAGGTCTTTATGGTGAAGGTTGACTTACATTTTTATCCTGTCTGATGTTGAGTACCATATACACCAATATTCTCCTCGAGTTCAGATCAAACAAAAGAAGAAAGTAAGCTCTTGAGGTGAAAATACTATATATCATCTCTCGCTTACGCAAGGTCTCACAACCACAACCACAACAACAACCAATTCACATCACACACACATACACAGCCACAACACAAAAATACAAAAACTAAATACCATATATTCGCATAGTATACCAACTAACAATCGTATACCCTAAAAACAAAAGTCCAAACCACGCTCCCAAAACCCCCAACTCACAACCCATCAAACCTCACCTGCCCATACTTCCTCTCCTCAATCTGCACATCCAGCAGCTCCCCATGGAAATTATCCGTCTTCGGCGCCTCACTCGGCGGTCCCTCCTGTCCCCAACACTCCATCCTCGCTCGGGCCCCCAAATCCGCGATTGGTGGACCGTCGAGAAATCCCTGCGTGAGGAGACTCATAGATTTAGTCTCTGCGATGTGGTCCCCGGTTGTGTCTTCGTGGACCTCTTCTGGTAACTTTACGCGAGAGTGGTGTTGTGCCCATTGGTGATCTCCTGTGTCTTCATGGACCTCTTCTGGTGACTTTACGCGAGAGTGGCGTTGTGCCCATTGGTGATCGAGGAGTGCGCAGAGTTGAGATGGATCTTCTCTGGGTGGGGGGTATGGTGGGTATTGCGTGTATTGTTGTTTTGAGTATTGGAGGAAAGTAGGTGTGAAGTTGTGAGGAGGGGGTTGTTGTTCGAGTGATGGTGGATGTTGCGAATACTGTCCCGGATAATGCGAATATTGTTGTTGTTGGACGTAGGATGTGGATTGGGTTTCTTGGTGGATGGGTATTGGCTCCTTTCCTTTTCCTTTGTCTCTTGTTTGTTGTTGTTGTTGTTCTTGTTGTTGTCGTCGTTGTTCTTCTTCTTGTTCAACTTGGAGTTGAAGAAGTTGCGCGGTGGGACTGAGGATTCGGATTGGGGATGGACTTTTCATCTCCTCTTCCGGGGGTGGGTTGAGAAGGGAGTTGACGGAGATATCTCGCGCGGGCCGTCTGGCTCCTGGTGTTCTTCGAAAAGCCAGATTCGAAAAGTCGTAAGTCATTTGGTCCATGCGGTGATGTGGTTGTTGTGCTGAACCGTAGTTGTTGTAATGATAATAGGACGAGACCTCATTCCTGTTGGCGTACATGTTTTGATATCCTGGGTATTGGTATTGAGAGGAGCCATAATTGTATCCATATCCGTTATTGTAGATACTGGTTGGTGGATAGCCAGAGTACATTTGCGATTCAGTGCTGTTGCTGTATCTTGCCGAAGCGTAATGTTGTTGCAGCTGTTGTTCCACTAGCTGCCTCATACCCGTCCTAACGGCATCCTCAATCGGGCAGAAGACTTTGCGATATATTCCCCCGCTGTTCATGCTTGGAAAGTTGGGGATATCCCATGTGTGGTACATGTTTTGGGATTGTTGATGGGCATCCGGTTGGGGTACGAATCCATAGGCACCAATTGGTGGCGCTTGTTGCTGGTTGGTGTAACCGCTGTATTGGCTGTGTTGCTGAGAAATCATATTGAAAGATAGAGGGTAGTTGTATATAACGAAGGTACAAAGAGGCTGGTACAAGAGTGTAAAGTCGAAGCTTTGAAGAAGTGTTGTTAACGAGTGCTCGGTATTCTGTAGATGTAAGATCGGGAAAGCTCTCAAGAGCCCAGCAGTGGAAAATCACAAAGTATTTATGCCTCTCAAATCCGATCCAAAAGCTCCAGATCACCGCTAAGTTGAAGATTTTTCATGGCGCGGAACGAATATCTGATGTGGTTTTATTGGTGCACTGCGCCGAACACTGACCGTTGGGAATGGCTTCTTCGATCGCCGCAGTCGGTCTAGCTTTAACATCCCCGACAAGGGACGGCTTGTGGTTACTGATGCAATCAGATATCTTCCATGAGGCATTTTGGGTATCACAATTATGATTTTTGGAAAAAAGAGTTGTGTTGTGGGTCATGTTGTTAGTCGTCTCTTAGTGTTGGACTATGACGATAGATGAAAACTTGAAGCATCCGATGCTCGATTTCACAGATCGTAGTCTGAGGAAACCAATTTTCATATTCCAGAATCATATTTGTAATATCAGTGTACAATATTTGTAACCCCCTTTTTGTAGAACTTGCATACTGTTGCTTAAAATTTGAAGTTCCTGATTTGAGTCTCGGTTAGCAAACAGTACGGAAGTCGCTCTTGAGTATCAACCGACAACCCTTTTGAATATGTATTTGGAAACATTTGGTAGAGAAAAATCTAGATCTATTGAAACAGGATGCTACAATGATTACAAACGTGCCCATTCTTTTTATGTTCGAGGTTATATAGTAATAATGGATAGGTTGGCATGAACATAAGCTCCAGGTCGACGAGTAAGAACATTTTCTACAAACCAAGACAGAATTGAATCCTTCTCGACCTGCATCTACAAGTACTGCGATATTGATATAGAAACAATGAATAGAAGTCCTACATTCAGGGTTCAAAAGAATTTCCTCAAACACAGAAAGTACGTATTCACGTGACTGACCAAGAGCTGATCCCTGTCAATTCTGGGACAGCAACAAAAGTCGCGATTCATCTGGCTTATCGCAAAGACAAGCCGTTACGCCAACTCCTTACAGAAGGTCTCATTAACTTGCAGGCTCTTTTCACACCCACATCCTCGCCATGTCCTCCCTCTACAATCTCGAGCCCCAACCAACCGCCTCCTGTATCCTCCACACGACGTCCGGCGACATCTCACTGGAGCTATGGGCGCAACAAGTCCCTTTGACATGTCGCAACTTCCTCCAACTCTGCCTGGATGGCTACTACGATAACACGATATTCCACCGTCTCGTACCTGGTTTCATCCTACAAGGCGGTGATCCAACAGGTACTGGGAATGGCGGGGAAAGCATCTACGATGGCGGCGCATACTCAGAGGAAAGAGAGAAGGGTGGTATATGGCCGATGGAGGATCGCAAGGGGAAGAATGCTGGTATGAGGGGCGTGGGGTTCAAGGATGAATGGCATAGTCGGATTAAGTATAATCGACGGGGTTTGTTGGGCATGGCGAATGATGGGACGGAGAATTCGAATGGGAGTCAGTTCTTTCTTACGCTAGGGAACACGCCGGAGTTGCATGGGAAGAACACTTTGTTTGGAAGAGTGGAAGGTGAGACGATTTATAATGTTGCGAAGATGGGTGAGGCGGAGGTTGGAGAGGGGGATAGGCCAATTTATCCTACGAAGATTACGAGTGTGGAGGTACTAGTCAACCCATTCAAGGATATGGAGAGGAGGACGAGGACAGCACCAGTTCGCGCGGAGAAAGAGAAGCTGGCGGAAAAGAAAAAGAAGAGGAAAGCTGGAAAGCAACTCTTAAGCTTTGGAGATGAGGAAGGAGAGGAACCCGCGCAACCAATTGTGAAGAAGGCCAAGTTCGATTCGAGGATAGTAACAGATGAGGGAGAGGCACCCGCGGAGCCAAAACCAAAATTGCCCAAGGAGACGAAAAAGAAGGTCGCGAAACCAGTATCAGTAGAGTCCTCCCCTGAGCCTATACCTGCTCCAAAATCGCTACCGAATCGCTCTGTAAAAGTGGAAAGTCGGGAACCTTCATCCTCGCCAGAACCCGTTCAAAAGGTCTCGTCACTTCTGGATCGAACGAATGCACAAATTGCAGAATTGAAGGCCTCAATGAAGCGAAACGTCCAAACTGCGCCCGTCAGGGAAAAGAAAAAGTCGGTTCTAGAAGAAATGATACCAAAAACGTCAGTCCGAGGCAGGAAAAGAAAAGCAGGCGGAAACAATCCTACGAAAGATGATCTACGATCGTTGGATATTCTTAAGGCGTTTCAATCAAAATTGGAATCTGCACCTCCCGAGAAAGAAGTCATTAAGGCGGAGCCGAAACTGGAAGAAGATGGAGGAAGCAAAGCCAACGGAGCAGAAGATGACGAAGAAGCAGCTCTCTGCGATCTTCATTTTATTGCAGGCTGTGAGTCATGTAAGAAATGGGATGCACAGGATGAAGGAGAAGAGGAAGATAATGATGATGAAAATTGGATGTCACATGCATTGTCCTTCAAAGAGGACAAGCTAGGCAAGGATTTGAGCTACAGGAAAAAGGCAGAGGACGAACTAGTGGTCATTGATCCCAGAGAGAAAGCAAGAACTCTAAAAGAAGAGAAGAAGGCACAACGGGATGCGCGAAGTGGTGTCACGGGGAGGGAATGGGATCAGGCTCGGAATGAAAAGTTAGCCCGAGCATCTGCTTTCTCGGGGAGAGGAGCCAAGTAGTGGTGTTTATTAGATAAGAGAAATCCAAATGTGTTCATACGGAATTGCGGGTCAGCAAGGAGCCCGGGATGTTCCTTTGGCCGTTCTTCCAGCAAAAAAAGAGGCTCGGAGACACTATTACCCCTATCGCTACCTCGCTTGTTGCGTGACTGCATATTCAGTATCCGTACCGTACGATTGATTTCAGGTTCGCGATTGTAATAGTAGATCCGGAATGAAATTAGCGATTCAATGATACTAGTAAACGTGTCCTGTTCCCAAATGTACTCGGTGCCTATCTATATGGCGAGGTGTGAGTGTTAAAGGGGGTTAGTAACACGTACCTACGTAGTCATTGTATGAAAGAGTCATTACTAGTATAAGGCTGCAGATTGCGGAAGTTGGCGGCAGTTAGGATCAGCCTTGAGCCTTGTTTTGTCCGCTGTCGATTGGTTCGCTAGAGATAACGGGATTGCAGGGGTCCAACCTCGATATCTGCCTCTGCCCTGGTGCCAATGCCACTTGCTCTGACGTCTGGATGTGCACCCTGGACTACTAGTAGAAAGCGAGAAAGCCAAAGAAACCCTTGAACCTGACAGGACCTGGAGAAAATACTCCGGATCGTGCTCTGTACTTGATCTCATAGCTAGCCCTCGCTAGCCCTAGTTAGCCCTAGCACAGCTCATACTGTAGCATACTCTCACCACTCACACTACCTGTATACACACCATACACAGTCAACGTCGCATTGCATACGCACATGCTGCACTCTCGCAAAGAGAAGCGAAGCCATAGGCATCCTCAAGTGAATTCACATTCGCATTCACTGCCAGACTCATCCGACTGAAACCTACATTTCGGCGGCCAAAGAACGGGAGCGGGAATTTGGTTGGAAAAAAGAACAAAACGACACGACCTCACATCTCCAGCAACGAGCGCAGCTGCAGCTTTCCGAACTCCCCGCACTGAGCGCTGCCTCAACCACCACCCTTTCGCGACCCAGTCTCAGATTCCTTCTGCCAACAATAGAATTGCGTTTAGAGCGTAGTCAGGCAATTCAACCTTCACCTACTGCTACAGCCTGCTGCTCTTTCACCTATACCGAACCTCGTCAGAGATTTAAACCAACCACTCCTTCCCAAGCTCCTCCAACTACAATACACCCCACCCGGTCCCTTGCGCGCGCAAATAAAACCTTCGCGACTCCATTCGACATAGTCGACACACGTCAAACGAGGGCGGAAGTCAACATTGCCCCGCCATCTGGGGTATCGACGAGTTTGTCGTACGCCGCTGAAGGGCCCAGGAAGGCTGCAGCAAGCCTCGAAGAAAAGTTCATACGTCCGGGTTCCATCGCGACAAATAACCAGCCTCATTTCCCGTCGTATCGTCAACATCAAGGGCGAATGGACAATCTCATGCCTCCGACGAATACCAAGAAGCGCGCAGCTCCCGGTTCATCACCAGCACCAGCTATGCAATCCGCCCAGATGCCTCAACAGCCGTACGCTGCACCTACCCATAATCCAGCCTTGAATCCGGAGTTTGCACGGTACAACCAACCTCCTGAAAATGCGGTATGCCAACAAGACCCACTGGCATACAATATGAATAGCTATGGAGGAAATGGAGTTTCACAAGCTCAGTACGAGCACCCGGCAGCACAATCCCACTTGCAATCCACCCAACTCGCACGTAGGCCCATCAACAGACAGCTCGTACCGACAGGACCACGATTTGAACAGGCTGGTGACAACCCGTGGGGTCATATGGGTGGTGATGACGGAGCTCTAGATCCCCAGCAATTACCGCCGGGCATAGAGGAAGCAGATAACATTGAGCTCCTGGAGGAAAAGGCAGTTGTGGCAAAGAGAGACGCGCAATCAAAACGAAAACAAATCCCGCCGTTTGTTCAAAAATTAAGCAGGTAAGCGTCTTGTGTACCTCTGCATTTCTTTCCCCTGTGGCTGCTAATTCTTTGGGGTAGCTTTCTGGACGGCGCGAAAAATACCGAGTTGATACGATGGTCTGATCGAGGGGACTCTTTTGTCGTGTTGGACGAAGACGAGTTTGCAAAAACTTTGATACCCGAGCTTTTCAAGCACAACAACTATGCATCCTTCGTTCGGCAGCTGAATATGTATGGGTTTCATAAACGAGTAGGATTATCTGACAACTCAATGAAAGCCAGCGAGCGTAAAAACAAGAGTCCAAGCGAATATTACAATCCATTTTTCAAGCGAGGCCATCCAAATCTATTATGGCTTATTAACAAACCCAAGGGGGGTGCAAAAACCAGCAGCACTTCTTCAAAATCCAAAAAGCTGAAGCTCGAAGAAGCTGAAAACGATAGCGACGATGATGGAAGAGAGGCAGGCGTGGAGGAAATTTACCGTGAGAATATGCCTGGCATATCTCGAGCACTTTCTCAAGCACCAGAACAGCTCTCTGGCCCACTTCAAAAACGAGAACTGGCCATGGTGCAACATCAACTTGCGGAAATTCAGGCGCAACAAGGCCAAATCACCAATGCCTTGAGCAGAATACAAAAGAACCATTCACATCTCTTGAACCAATCATTAGGATTTCAACAACTACACGATAGACATGAAAACTCGATCAACGCCATCCTTACCTTTCTTGCGACAGTATACAATAGAAGCTTGGACGGTAACCCGCCCCAGAACTTTGCACAGATGTTTGCCAATGGTATACCACATGACCAACATAACCAAGGCAATGTTGTTGAGCTCGCAGAGCCTTCTAATGAGTCACAAAATCCCGGGATACAAAGCCCTCGGAGACGGAGAGAGACCCGCCTTCTAATGGCTCCCCCATCTGCCACAGGTCGGGCTGAGACTCTTTCTCCAGCAGCTTCAACTCCACGAGCGCCTCCTCGGCATGCTAGATCTGGCACTGTTGAAGAACTTTTTGAAAATTCTCCTGCAGATTCGCCCCAGGTAAAGACGGAACAGGAGCAGCAGCAGCAACCAGATATCATGATGAATATAATCAATAATACGAATGCTCAAGCGGGTGCAAATATTGGAAGCATGAATTTTCCGGAGATGCTCACTCATTACGAGAATTCCAATGGCCAATCACCACTCACTTCCGAGCAACGAAATACTGTTCTCAACATGATGGCAAATAGCTCTTCTGCTCCTGGTACCAACAACGCACTTGTGAGTCCGACACCTCCCGAACCGCCTAGCCTCGACGGTCTCGAATACAGCAATGCAGATCTCGAGCGTCTGCTTCAAGCTCACAACGCGAACGGTGAGCAAATCAACAATATCAAAAACGCAATCTCACAGCCCCTCAGCCCCTCTGGAATCTTACCTCTTAGTATGGACGATACCTCCTTCTTCGACGGCGGCCTGGAAGCCCATGATGGCTTGAATGGCAACCTTGATATTGATCAGTATCTTGACCCTGGAGCTTTCTATAATGGTGGGAGTCCTGCTGGTGCGGAGTTCAACTATGATCAGTTTGGGGATCTGAATGCGGGGATGGATAGCCATTTTGATATGGGAATGGATGGGACGAACGAGATGGGGAGAGTGGTAGAGGGTGAGAGTGAAGCTGTCACGCCGGATACCGGTATGGATGACTTGAATAATGGCATGAGATCTCCTAGCAAGAAGAGGCGGAGGAAGTAAAAGTGAAATTATTTTGGAGGGAGGTGTCTATTTAGTGAGGGCGCTGGGTAAATGGAAGGCGTTTGTTTCTTATTTTCGGAGGGGGACATATCACATACCACTTGGGGGTTGGGGGTTGGGGGCCGGGGGTGAACTCGTTTCTACACAGAATCTTGAGATATTTTTGATTTGAAGAGGGAACCTGGAGAAATTAGCTGAACAAGCAGCTAGGCGTTGTTTTTACGAAGTCGAACGACGAAATGATCAGATGCAGCAGCAGCAGCGGCGAGGAAATAAGTGTACTCAAAAAGGTATAGCGTAGGGATTTTCCCCCTTCTCTTGGATCTAGGACATACAGGGACTTTCTTTCCTCTTTTTTTTCTCTCTTTCCCTTTCTTTTCTTTGGGGTACCTGGGAGTTGGGTTTCATTTTGAGGTGTTCTACAAGGAAAGAAAGAATGGAAGAAGGAGGAAGGATTGGTGGTGGTGGTTTGACTTTGGTTCTTTCTTCTCTTGATGTGGAAAGAGAACAAGAAAAGGGTATACAGAAAAGTCAAGGCAAGGCGGACTTAAACCGTAGTACGCTATGGGAATGGGAATAGGAATTGGAATAGGTAGATTACCATACCGATTCCTATTTATTCTCCTCTTCCTCTTCGTCCTTTGCGAAGTAAATGCCATGTGGAGAGACGATGTCTGAGTCTAGACATGTAAGAAAGAGAAAGGGAAAGAGGGGCTAGAAAAGTACTGTAGGCAAGTAATCAAATAAGCGAGAAGAAAGATTTTGATTTCTTGACCCTAGAAGGTTCTTGTGAATGCTGTGCGGTAGGGAATTATAAGTCACTCTGTGTAAGAATGATGTAAATGTGTAATCTTTTTTTTTAGGTAAGCTTATGTTAAGAATAAAGATACGCGAAGGATTATATATTCCCGAGAGGGTTTATATGTATATATACCTACGGTTTGAGGGTTGGGTTTAGATTCCCTTATTATGCGATGATTTTTAGAAATAAGGCTTTTTCGAAGGTTATTTGTATTTGTATTAGTAGGGTAAAAACAAAATTAGGCCGCGCCAAGTATCAAAATAGAACGTCTCGTCAGAAGTGGGCTAATAGGTACCCAGACAGGAATCAACTTTATTAAATATCTAGAAAACAACAATCTAAATAGTTATAATTTATTAATACTAAGGTTGTCTGTCCTATTAGAGTTATTATAGAGGCCTCCTCACGCGCTCTTAAGGTATTTCCTCGTGCACTACGTGTGTTTACAGCCCCTTCGTAAAAGTAGCAAGGATCTAGGGTATCTTACTAGTGTGTTGTAGGTTATTTTGCAAGGTATTTTGTATGTGAAATACTTCTTCCTACAGTTTCTAGGGTCGCGAAACATCTTGCTACTTTTGCGAAGGGGCTGTACGTATCTGGAACTCGTATTTGTGGAAGTACTATCACGTAATAGTACAGGTACAGGTACTTCTTACACTCGGTATAATAATATCGAGTCCTTGGGACGGGTAGTAGCTCAGGTCCAAATTCACGGTATCGTGACTTTCGTCGCAGCTCATGTACCTGTGCAAAGCGTACTTTCCTACATATAAAACAGGACTAAGTGTGCTATGACCAGCCGACGAAATGGACAGCGACATCAGGGTTCCGGACGACCAGGGAGGGGATCGTCGGCTCGAACGTAAATGTTAGTTACTTGCGGATGATATTTGTATCTGACAGGCTATACGAATCTGATGGACTGACGTTGATGTCAAGAATCTGTTCCTACCGGTAGTGTGCTTGTTAGGTACGGAGTAAGGGATACGCGTGCTATACAGGACACTTGCCTCACCTGACTACAAGCGGCAGCGCAGTAGGAAGACGCACTGACCACTATTCCTTACTCTGTACTCGAGTAACACCGAGGGAACTGGTAGGCAGAACGTCATTATTAGGTTTAGTGAGTACCATTCTACAATTTGATGTGCGATAGTACGAAGGCCAAGCCTAATAGGACGTTCTGCCTGCCGGTTTCCTCGGTGTTACACAGACTGAGGGGTATCAAGAGGTCAAAGTTAAATCCGTAGGTGTACATATAAAGCCTCGAGGGGATAACGCGAACAGTTGGCATCAGTTTAAACTGGAACCTCGCAAAAGTATTTCCTCGGAAATAAAAAAACAGCCAGAAGAAAAAGAAAAGAAATTGAAATTATCGTAACATCCCGTCCACATGTCGTCTCACGTACACCTGCACTTGCACTTCCACGTAAACTGCGTTTGCAGTGTGCCCGTTGGTGGTAGTGAGGGGGATGAGATGGATGTTGACGCTGTAAGTAACTGATTTCCTTGATTTATCCAGGTTCGATATGTCAAATGAGACCTCGCGGCAAGGAATTCATTCAAGCTTACGTTCTAACCATTATCAATAGCCTGCCGCCGCTACTACAACAACAACAACAATAAGAACAACAACAACTAAAACCACAACTACAACCGCCACTCCCACTGCTCCCTCTGAAGAGTCTGCTCCCTCTGCTCCCACTGCTCTCTCTGAAGAGCGGGACTCCGAAGAGCGGGATTTTAAATCCTCCACCACTCCCTCTGCTATCATTGCTCTCTCTGAAGAACGGGACTCTGAAGAACGGGATTTTAAATCCTCCACCACTCCCTCTGAAGAGCAGGACTCTGAAGAGCGGGATTTCATCCTCTCCACTGCTCCCACTGCTCCCACTGCTGCCTCAGAAGAATCTGGAGACTCTGGAGAGCGGGACTTTATCCCCCTTGCGCGCCCTCTTCCCCCTATGGCTTTTCGGTTTCCGGACGTTCCGTACGTCCACCAGGCCCCTGTGGCTGGTGCGTACTGGTGGCGGAAGGATGATTCTTTTTTCGATCCGTAAGTACTTTTCTATTTCGTTCACTGTTCTAGTCAGTTAGTAGAACAAACACTAATAGAGAGTGTAAAAAAACAGTGCCAACCAGTCCCTCGCAGAGAGGAAGAAGTGGGGCCATATTGGCCAGATTATGGAAACGGATTTAGGGGAGACCGTGGTTGGTGGAATGGCCTGCGATTACTGCATGAGGCACGGCTACGAGTGTCGTGTATACTCACGAGTAGCCGAGGATAAGGTTATTCGCCATGGCTCACAATGTGCTCGTTGTCGTAAAGACAAAACCCGTCGGGGTTGTAATGTGCGCGGGCGTGACATTGTAGTACGCAATACCTCTCCGCCGCCTCGTAACCGAGGATCCAAAAAGGGGTACACCATCAGGAGGCGGTAATGGAATTGCGGCTTTTCTCTAAGCAATTAGACACTATCGAACAAGGACTGATTGCTTTACTCCCTTCTAAGCTAATCTCGAGGGAGAGCGTCGGTTAGCTTGGAATATGATATGATATGGTTAATCTAACCGCAAAGCCAGCCAGCCATAAGCAGAGAAGACCTCAGGAGTAGGGGCCGATACTGTGAGAGGCCAGACCTCGAACAACTCAAAGGTGTGGGTTCAATATTCAATTAAGAACTACGTTGTCTGTAAATACATGTTCCTCCTCTACTCTTATACTAAATGTAGCATTTCCATTGCATTCGACACTGTTCCATGGTATTACCAATCTTCTGCGTCATAGCATTCTATCTTATTCCATGGCGTTCCAGAGGCGGAGTCGCTTAGCTTAGCGAGGGCTCTTGGCCCGAGCCCCACTATGTGTTCTAACACTCACAGATACCATATATTAGAAATAGGAGCTAGGAGTTCTTATCTGCCAATTATGAGCGGAAAAACAGGACGGTATACTAAGCCGAGTGCAGAAGTGTATAATTATGTATGAATCCATTCATTACAGGTAGAATAGTAGAATAAGGAGAGATAGGTTACCTACCCCAATCTCTACCCCTCCCAAGTTCTCCACTTTCTTGCTTCATAACTCAAGAACTACTAAAAGAACAACCTATATCACTTAATCAATACCACCCCCCCTTTCCAGCACCCTCGCTACTGAAGAAAACAAATGCACTCTTCGCCAAGTTCCAAATATTCTACATCCCCCTTCTCTTCTCACAGTCCCACGTCTCTTCAACAACACATGATCAAACCCCAAAGACGCGGGCGAATTGGGAGATCTCATTCATAGACTCTGAGCCAGTGAGGAAAGGCAACCGCAATCTGGACATGTCCAGGAGAGAAGGGAAGAGGGTGGACAGTCGATAAAAAACTTCATCATCACAGACCTAATGACGTATCACATTCAATTCAAAATTCATACTCATCAGCACGTCAGCGTAAAATACTCGAGGTTGGTAGAGTACATAAATATAGAGGGTTCGATTTAAAAAACAAACAAAAAACAGAACCTAAAAAACAAGAGGAGAAATAAACCGGAAAAAAATGGACACAGTACCACCTCCGAGTAAACCTCCTGTGACCGACCAATATCCATTGCTCCTTCTCTAAAAAGACAGAACGAGTCAATCGCAGTCAATCACTATTTCAGAAAAAGTAAAACATTATAAGAAAAAGGTCCTCTGCCGACTATTCCAAGCTTGGAGCTAAGAGATAAGGATGATGTAACTCGAACAACGGCAGTTGAGGTCAAAACCCCCGAAATTTTGACAAGCGGAGACATGCAGCGCATTCACCATATCAGCGACAACATAAGAAACACAAGCAAACAGGGAAGCAGCAGTTGAGCAAAAGAAGCAAAGAGAAGCATTCCAATTCATTTCCACAATCCAAATTTAATCTGCAACCAAAGTGGCTAAACGCCTCGCAACTTTTTCTTTTCAATCGTCTCCTCATAGAAGGTTGGAAGGGTCCAAAAACGGTGGAAGACTCGACTAGTTTATGTATATATGTTGCAACTGCGTGGTGTTCGCAAGCGGCCCAGAGAAGAGAAAGGTGACAGGTACACCTTATTATTAGTCGGATCGAGCTTCCACCCATCCAGATCCGAAGTCCAGTCCCGTCACCTTCTGTTGTGTTGTATTCGGTGAATCCAGATTATCCTCAAAGTATCCAATGAACCCCAAACCAAACTTGTATGATGTTGTAGTATTGTAAAGGGGGAGGGTCATAGCAGCGTAAGTCGTGATGATGGTTGCCCAATCGCTGTAATGTTGTGGTTTCACAAATGGTATCCAATTCATTCGTATTCTTGTACGTATTTTTTATGGTCGTTTTCGTAATCGAGTCGCAGCAAAGTTTATTAAACTCGACGTGTGTTGCTTTTGATGGCGGTCGAAGTTTTCGTCAAGATCAAAATCGTCCATTCGTCCAGCAGGCATCGCGCAACAATCGCGCAATCAGATAATATGTACTAACGCCAGTTCCATGATAGTGAGAGTGTGTGTCCAATAGACGTCATCTCAATGGATGACTGGAAGGGACCGTAATTACAATATGCAAGACAGTTGAAGAACAAAAAGCAAAACAGACGCCGAAGTCAAGCATGACGAATATTATGCTTGCAATGAGTACAAAGTCGACAGCTGCATGTTCATACAGATAGATTGGGCAGGTAAATGGCCTATGCAAGAGGCAATTCGGGGTATGCACGCTCACACAACATGTCTAGGGGTTTCGTCACTTCATAGCCTCGTCTCCTAGGGATATGGAGAGAGGGCTTAGTGGAATCGTCCATTGGTATTTCGATCGGAGGAATCTTGTATTCTGTTATCATCCCAGTCTCTTTCGATGCTGTTCAGATCAAGCTCACCACTTCCTTGATTACGATGGCCATTTTGGCGCGGTCTTGCAAATCCAGAGCCCCACTCGCTGCCAGGTCCTCGTGGCTGTCTCTCAGGTACAGCTGAGGCACCATTCCTGGGGTTGTCCTCGTAGCTTCCATTGATTGGACGATGGCTTCCAATAGGACCGGCGCTTGAGGTATGGTTCTCTCGCTCTTGGCCAATCCGACCATTGGATCTGGTAGGGCGATCAATCCCAATAGACATGTTATTGAGGCTATGAGCGAGGAAAGACTCATCACGACTATTCAATTGTCCGCCGGCCGAGGTCGGTGTTAGATTAGGAGTGCCTGATGCTGCAGAGGAATGACCGTAGTCAGTATATCGTGAAATATTTTGGGAGGGATTCGCCGGATAACTGGCAACAGATTGGGCGGGCGAGGGTGTATACGAACGCAAGTCAGCGAAGGATTTGGCAGCTCGAAGGTTGTGGGCAGCGTTGAGTCCCAATCCTGGTGAAGCGGGGATGTCCAAAAGTCCAGAGCCTTGGCGGCCAAGTGTATGACCATAATAACCAGATTCATTCTCTCGAGCGATGGCAAAGTCAATTGTTGCTGCACGATTCAGTCCACGACGTTCGGTGTTATAATAATTTTGGGGAATCGACGGAACCGCCGGGCTTATAGAACTCTGTTGGCGAGTCTTGTAAATCTGAACACATCTCCCATCTCCAACTCCCTCCGACCGGTGCTCAAGGCCCATATTGTGGGCCAAAGTGTGGATGATCTTCCTATGTTGAGGAGAAACAGTGCTTGGGAAGACCAGTATCTCACGATTGGTATCATTCTTGAATAACGTAAGCTCGGTGAAGTACGTCAAAGTTGTCATATCATTCATATCCACACCAGCAACATTGATGGCTGAAGCACCAGTTGATGCCGACTGGTAGTCGCTCCCCTTAGATCGCATTTGTACTGGTGATGGGGATGCGGGAACTGTGGTAGAGTGAAGTGAGTTCATCGAGGTCTGCGAATGAAGCGGTGGCACTGATGCGTTTCCAATAGGACGATGCTGCTCCTCCAACTGCCCACGTCTCTCCCTCTTATCCCGCTCGATTCGCTCTCTCTCCGCAGCCGGCAACATCTTCTTGTATTCAACTCTCAACTTTCTTCCCTGTAAATCCATATGATTCATAGCATCGATCACTTGCGAGGTCTCTTCGGCAGTGGTGAAATTTGCGAAGGCCAGTCCACGAAAAACGCCGTTATCAAAATGGTAATTGAAAGCGTATGGCAGTGGAAGGTTCATGTCCGTCATGAGTGCTACAAGTGACTCTTTCTTTACTGCAAATGGGATGTTTTTAATAACAATGGCGGTGGGGATAAGCTCGTCATGGTCAGGAGGGGGTGAGATTCGAGCATGATGTGGTTGCATATGCGATTGACTATACTGGCCATTAAGCTGATGGCCGTTCAGTTGGTGGATGCCTACGTTGGGCATAGGGGACTGCATTTGGCTATTTTCCATCCAAGTCTACGGAGGGAGACGTTAGCCAAAATTCCATGAGACGTAGGTCAAGGCACAAAACTTACAGGAGGCAGTCCTGTTCTGCGAGCAGTCGGCTTTACCCGACCACTACCTCCTATGGCACTGATGCCGTTAATTCCATTGATACCACCCGCCATGTTGGCACCTCCGTAGTTCCATGTCTGATTATCATAGGGGTAATTGTTGGAATGTTGGAGCGTCCCTGAGGGGATTCGGTCAAATCGCGGAGGCAAATTTTCGAATCGCCCATTTGAATGCTCATCCTGTGCATAGATGCCCTGCTGCAGTTGCGACGATGCATAGGTATCGAAGTTTCGCGATGGTTGGCGGTTCAAATTGTTGTTCAAACCATTGTAGCGGGAATTGTTTGGGGACCGGTTGGAGGGAGGAAACTCCTGAGTGTACATTTCCTGGAGGTACGGGTGGGTAGCCATTATGAATCGAAGGAGAAAACGGAAGATGAGGAGGTGGCAGTCGTTGTCGACGAGGGTTGTTCTGTTCTCACGGTATGCAAGGAGCGGACAGTGGCACGCAGAACAGCTCAAATGGCTGGTTCGCCCCGAACTCCACGCTCGTGCAGTGGAGCGAGGGTGTGGATATCGTGGAGAGAGAGTCAGGAGCAGCTGTATGGAGAGCAGCTGGCGACAATTTCAAGCTTGGTCAAGCTGTGACGGGATGTTTCGTGCCGTTTGGCGTGGTGGTGAAGAGGAATGAGGTGTCTTTCGGTACTTGAGCAAGGAAACCTTTTTCTCGATGCAGCTTGGCTGGGGCGGGCGAGGGATGGAGGTTCGCGCCAAAGGTTCGTTGGGCTCGTCTATAATCGTCGTCGTCGGTATATACCAGTCAGCCGTGAGAGAGTGCGCAGATGCAACAAAGAGTGTGTCGGGGACAATGAGGATATAAAGCAGACTCGAAAGGGGCGAAGATGCGTACTGCTGGGGGGGGGCAGAGAGGTAAAGATCGCGCTGTCAAGGGGAGAGATGCGATGGGAGTTCGGTTCAATTTTCAGAGGCTTGGGCTTGGGCTTTGGTCTTGGGAGGAGCCCGCTTAAGCTACACCAAGCCCCTTTCGGCTAAGGTGGGCCAGGGAGGTGCGAACGAATCTTGTGCTCCGTGGTGGGAGCTACTCCTTAGAGGGTTGCAACTCCCCGCAAAAAAGAAGATAACTTTATGACTTCAGTTTCTACCGAGTACGCCAAAGAATTATTTATGACACGACCACTTCAAGCAACAGACGGTCCGTTACCTTTCCGTCTTCCTTCCCCCCCCTCGCTTCTAGTAGCCGTAGCCGTAGCCGTAGCCGAACGAGCAAAATACACTAGCTGTCTCCGCTTGTTGTCCTCGTTTTTTTCCTTCTTTTCGCTGTGTTGTGTTGTTCGCTAGTTCGTTGTTAGGCAGGAGGGAATCCCCTGACGCAGATGTCCGTGGTCCGTCTGCTGTGAAATTATTTCGATGTTGCTAGGCACACTGAACGTGGTGGAACGGTCGCTGCAAATCTCCTATCACCATGGATTGCAGAGTTCTCCTTCTCCGGGCACTACAGATAAAGGAGGAAACAGAGGTCACGGATGACGGAGCGATCAGAGTGATTCAAATGCGCCCAACAGCAACAACCCCACGATGATGGGACATTACTTGGTGCAAGTACTTCGTACATCCTCAGGTGCACACCACCAACACAACACCACACAAAAAAGCAAGCTGGAACCCCTCGGTATGGCATGCCGCTGCCCCCAGCTCCCAGCTCCCAGCTCCCATTCCACAGCTCACAGCTGGTCGCCGGGGCCTGACCTTGGGCCTTTTGGCCTCTCGGCAGGTCTGGAAAGGGGAACTCGCCAGCCTCCTCGCAGAACCCGGTCAGTTACCAAGTCGCGTCGCTCAAATTTGATGCGGCAGTGGATGTCCCAAAAACGACCTCGACGTCGATCATGAGAGAAGGCAAGGCGTAGGTAATTTCAACACGGAGTATTCACGAGAGCCTGACAATGACAAGAATAATGGCCCGGAAGCTCCAACCATCCGTTGTGTCTTGAGTGACTGACTCCAGTTGCTTTAGGCTTGGAGGCAGCATACCCGCGTGGGGTTTTCAACCTTTCTTAGCCCATGGGAGATGGAGAATGAAGTAATTACAGTACGAAGTCCTCGATACGAATGAAGATTGTTTTGCGTGTTGTTATTGCTAGATGCCATTCAAAGTTCAAGATATTCAGGGGTATTGGCGGCAACCTTAGATGAAGGCGCACATCCTGACAATTTGTGGGGAAGTCAATTTGTTCATCATTCGTGTTGGCCATCACCAATCCCGTAACACTTTGCTCGAGGAGGCGCCCCTAACTTCCTTCCTTGATGTCTCGCAGGCTGCTCGTTGTGTGTCACGATATCTCCAAATCCTACGACATGACACCCAAAACCCTCTCGCTAACGACGATCCACACAGATATCGAGTTCAACTCGAGGGACTTGCACTTGGTAAGGGTGCATAGTCGCCTGCATCACAGGCCAGCCAATCGATTCGTGCGACGTGACCCTACTGCGCATCCTGCAGCAAATCCATTGGTCAAGGAAGGCATGTTTCTCAACCTCTGTTCTTCTTGGTCCGATGACACGAAATTCTTGACTCATCGTCAAATCCAACGCGGAGTGGCAATCGCCTCTTTTGTTGCCCATGTTGTCGCGGGCGAAGGAAGAATGAGATCTCACCCGACGGCCAGCAGAAATATACTCTGCGGTTGGGGGTACTCTTTGGCCTTACGATCTACCTTACGAAGTAAACTATGATATATAAATCCTCTCTTATTAATGTATTCTCCAGCGTTGTACGAAGTAAGAACCTTAAAGAGCCCTCTTTATATACTTTACGGCCCGAATCCGAGTCGACTGACCTTGGGAAAATGAAAACAAACTCAATACGTAGGTCTGTAGAGTCCAGATATCTGGACAGCGCTATCTCTTTACTTTCCTTGACCACTCATTAGTTCAGACGAAAAAGAGCGATGCAAGAACTTCCTTCTAGAAGCAGATGACGATTCACAAAACTTCCCGGCGTCGCACTATAAATATAGAGCTACATCCAGTGTGTAACGGAAGCCTCCCGATCTCCAGTCCATTCCTCTGGGTTTCTGATGGTCTCTGATGGTCTCTGATGGCGTCAAAAGAAAGCCCTCTTAAAGGGGGAGGTGATCCGTTAGGATTTCGGCACACGTGGGTGTGGGGTCCTCTAGTTGTTTTTTGCCGACCGGCACCTTGAGCGCCACAGCTTGCACTTCCTGTTTGGGGCTGATTTTGTGGTTTGTATAATTTCAGTTAAACTCAAAATTGGTTTCCCGCCTTTCTGATATTGATAATTATCACAGACCAGGACAAGCTAAAAAGGTGTTCAACGTCTTCTTTTTTCCGGTCAAGAAATTGTTGAAGATATGACAAGTCGAATCCTCCCCATCAACACCCTGTTACTGTAGCCAACTCACCGGGATCGAAATTTGGGTTATTTCAGTAGCTGTTGAGAGTCTCGATTCTTTTGTCTCGACATTCGCAAAAGTATGTGCCCAAAAAGATGGCCCGAGGGAAATAATACAGGAATGCTCGTAATAACGACAAAACCCCCTCGAGAAAAAAAAAGTCGAATTTTCGTCTTTTGGGACCTGCAATCGAACCTCAACCTCCAATCTTGCGAAGTACGATCCCATCCCACAAAAATCTCTCTTCTATTAATATAACAAGATATCACGATTACCAAACGATTGCGGCTCTCGTTCCATTTTCTGGGTCCTCTCCATCCTGGAAACTGGATGTTCGAGAAAAGGGGCTCAATTCAAACCCAAGCTAGTCACCCTAGAAATGATGCGTTCCGACACCCGTCAGGTTCCGTCACCTACCGGAAGCCTTCCACGATACAGTAGGGCGATCATTGGATTCGAAAACTTCCATGCAGTCCGTCTCCCGACGGATCCATCCAACAATAAGACTCCACTTTACAAGAAACACATAGAAATTCCTTACCACCGAGGCTGCAAGAATGAAGGACTTGAACTAGCACGGGATACTCCTTTAGCAATCGTACTCGTGAACCTCAAAATAAAGTAGGGTGTGACTTCTCGATAGGGTGAAATCCTGGATACCTGTGCATACAGAGGGAGTGGTGCAGTGCAGTACGCCATCTGCCTCACGATGCATTATCACAATCACTATTCATACATAATCCCCCTTCTCCCCCTCGCTTTTCCCTTCGTGTAAGCCCAACCTTTCAGGTAGAAGTAGAAGGCTAAAGTATACGCTCCTTTTCAGATTCGATTTCTGCATGTAGGAAGATCAGAGTACTCACTTAGGGCGAAGCACAGTCGCGCTGTTCGTCTAATGCGCTTCAATCAATTCGTTTCCCGACTCGGTAATAGAAGCCTCACACCACTGCAGCCACCTCCAACCCAAACCCATCTCCCCCCCTATCTGATTCGCTCAGAAGGCGGTCGCAAATTACGGCCTGCATTTTCAATATTTTCCGGGTTCCGGCTTCATGAACCGCCCGATGGCACGAGATTCGTCCGGGGTTTTGGCTAGATTTTTGGGATGGTTTCGATAATGTGACCTTCCTGTGCTCTCTGCTTTTTATCGTGATAGTTGTTTTTGAGTCTTAGTAAAGTCCCTACAAGTATAATCGGGTAATCAAACGTCTATCATCCAGCCAGCCCACAATTGTGATTTGTTTTGCAACAGAACATCAGCTGGACCTCAGGCTTACCATTAGCTATGTCACGTGCCATGTTCCTTTGAGAATTTTCCAAGGTTAAAGACAGAAGCCGGGTGTGAGAGATGGGTTGAATCTGTGAGGAGAAAGTTTTTTAAAAATAGAGATATAGCTCACTGACACATGTAGGCACGGACTCGCCTCGAGTAAAAGGTGTCAAAATGTCCTTGAAACCTGCGATGGCGTTCTAGGTGGAAACATGCGTACCGTATCATATCATGATATCGAACAATAATCCAAGGCTATCCAAACAGCGACGACTTTGGAACCTATCAACACTCGGAAGTTCGCTTCACTATTCATCTTCTCGCTAGCTTATACCTTCTATTTCGGAGAATTTTTAAAACTTCATAAGTGACACATGGGGTGATACTCACCTCAAGTTCCTCGATGGCTCCTGCTTCTTTACTACCGGTACTCAATCCCTCACTCAAGGTCCTGTCCCTGGAGTTCAAGGCTAAGCGAGTCTTCGCATCATTCCAAGTGTTGTGGGAGTATTGGCAACAACACTCGCAGTGGACAATGAAAGCAGCAGTGAATATCTCTCATATGACTTGTCCAATAGTCAAAGACAACGAAAAGAGAAATCCAGACCACTCCAAGAAATCAAACCTATTCTCGTTGGAGGCGTAGCTCAATAGCCGAATGGAATCCATGGATCAGAACACCTAGTGCACAAGAGCCCTGGATATCACCATTTTCATTGTTCTTGTGAGCCTCCCTCACCGTTCTACTAGCACCATAGATGTGTACATTCACAGCGATCTCCCGTCGTCTTATCCCTGCCCTGGTCTTTTGGTTCGGAATCTCATACATCTTGAGTCAGGAGATAGTCTACGATCTCGCTTTACATCTTGGGGATAACGCTTGAAGAAACAAGAGGCTTTCCAGACACCATAAATAGAAATTGTGTCCCTGATGAGACAGCCAATCAACGGCTCGTACCGAGTGATTCGTACTTCAGAGTACTGCAGTGCCATGTACGAAGTGTAAGTGCGAATTACCCCGTGTTTACTGGATGTCAACACAAGTTGATGATTTAGAGTTGCGGGTGCTCAGATAAGCTTGAAGGGATGACGCGTGTTCAATTGCCGGGTAACTTTCCTGCTTCCAAATGGCTCCTTTTACCATATTTTGCAACTACAACATTCAGGGGGCAGCAATTTCTACAGATTGATCTTAACTACGTTTACTGTCTTTGGGGCCAGAGTAATAGACTTTTTAGCTGTGGGAATTATGTCTCCTTCAGATTCATTGTTGAAAATTTCTTCTAGCGTTTACTTAGCGGCAAGGAGGCTCAAACGTCCCCAACCGAGCGTCTCTCGCTTCCCCACGCCCCCCCGCAAGCTCTAGAACCATGATCAAGTATCACGTAAAGTGATCCGTTCCCTTCCTTAACGGCGTCCCCAAGACCAATCAAAACATGTCGTCCAAATCCCACCCGTCCTTGTGTTGGAAACATGGATCAAACCCGACAACTACAGTAGGTGCGGACAGTTCCTTCAAGCTTGTTTCCAGACAAAGTGTACTTTTTAGTTGAGGTAGTAGGGTGTTTGACACAGGCCCACGGTCCTCCACCGCAAGAAACCCCTGATCAGAAGACCGGATTACACGTGGATTTAACCTTTTATATATCAGAGATACTTGGTTTCTGAAGATGTGACTCTTTTAACTTTTTCGGCACTCGACCGGAAAGTACTGTACCAGTAGCATCAAATAATACTGGTACCCTTCTTCATTCCAAAGTCGGTTCTAATTTAAGTAAATAATCTGATCTTCAGATCGTCGTTTCATCCCCAGCATATCTTCACTTCCGGACAAGCGCGTACCAAATAACAGATCAATAGTGTTTCCCCGTCAGATTGATATGGACGATGTTGCCACTCCCCCAGAAACTTTGATACTGCCCAGTCTCTTGACTGTCCTGGTGAGTAGTGGTCTTGGACATGGAAACCTTGAGTATAATTCCGAGTTCGTGGAGCAAGACGTGAGTCTTGGTCAAGCATTAGGCCAAACGTCAAGTTCACATAGCCTAGAGTATTTCGCATATAAGCTATGCATTCCCATCATTCAAACATTCTAGCGCTCGAGGCCAAGGAGAGGAGAGTGTCTGAGTGCGTCTCTCAATCTTTTGTGTGTTGACGTGTGTTTGATTTGATATCACCACATTTGTTTACTTCAAAGTATTGTCCTGCAGCGGGTTTTTTCTATTCAAAATGCGTCCCTCCAATCTTTTATCATATGCGCTAGTCGCTTTGTGCTCTTCTTTTGTCATTGCTGGGTCAGTAGATGGCAGTCTACCGTAAGTTCATGGCTATGACTTCAAGATTCCAAGCTGATTGAAATATAGACCTACTCGAGTTGAGAACCGGCAAGCACCTGCGCCAGCTGGACCAAGGAAAACAGTCGATTCAAGGCTATCTGCGAAAAAGGCCTCCTTCAAACCAGGAGAAACCCCTCGGCCTAATATCATACCGCTCAATGAAGAAGCACCTAATTCCAAAGCCAATCTCCTACGTGCGAAGAAGGGTGCATCTCCCACTGGCAAGGAGCTGGCTGCTGCGGACGGTGAGGGTGGTGACGTTGCCACAAACCCGACGAACACTCCAGCACCTAAAAAGGGAAAGAATGCTGGTGCTGGTGCTGGTACTGATACCACAAAACCGACGGGCACTGCAGCACCCAAAAAGGGCAAGAATGCCAATAACAGTAAGCCCACAGGAACAGCCAATGGCAACGAGAAGGCTGCTGCGGATGGTGAGGCTCCTGGTGGGGGTACTGGCGAAGTGACTGCAAAACCGACGAACACCCCAGCACCCAAAAAGCCCAAGGCAGCTGGTACTGATACTACAAAACCGACGGGCACTGCAGCACCCAAAAAGGGCAAGAATGCCAATAATAAGCCAGCACCAACAGCCAATGGCAATGAGAAGGCTGCTGCGGACGGCGAGGGTCCTGTCGAAGCGACTGCAAACCCAACGAACACTCCAGCACCTAAAAAGCCCAAGGCAGCTGGTACTGATACTACAAAACCGACGGGCACTCCAGCACCCAAAAAGGCTAAGAATGCTAATAAGCCCACAGCAACAGCCAACGGCAATGAGAAGGCTGCTGCGGACGGTGAGGGTGAGGCGACCACAAAACCGACGAACACTCCAGCACCCAAAAAGCCCAAGGCAGCTGGTACTGATACCACAAAACCGACGGGAACTGCAGCACCCAAAAAGGGCAAGAGTGCCAACAATAAGCCAACCGCCAATGCCCTCCCTACATCAACTCCAGAGTCCAAGAATGGTGCAGAGAAAGCAGCTGCGAAGAAGGGAGGCGAGTCCAAGGCACCTCCCACTGGTACAGATGCTCCTCCTCCTCCCCCTCCACCTCCAACAGGAACCCCAGCTCCACCGCCAGGAGCGCTTGACCTTCCACCTCCTCCACCACGCGGAAATGGTACAGAAAACCCACCTCCCCCACCACCAAATGGGACTCCACCGCCGCCTCCTCCTCCTCCAACTGGTACAGGAGCTCCTTCGCCGCCAGCTGCCGAAGAGACTGGTCTTCGACAAGGTGATGCTCTCACCCCAACGGTATGTTACTTTCTCAATATCCCCTTTCAGTCCTCAAATTTCATACTATGTCGAAAGGCGTGAAGCATTCTTGCTGTAGACAAGAAAAGTGACTGGAAGAAATTCTCCTTTTATTCTACCTCGTTCTTCTCTTTTTCCAGATTACTTTGAGTGGATCAACTTGGCAATCTTTCTAAAAGATTATGACTTCAATTACCCCAGAATGTCTGGCAAAGTTGTTCAAACTGTTCTAAATATCTAGAGTAATCCAGAATTATTCTAGAGAATTAGAATAATGAGGCTCGTTTCTCCTAATTTTCTTGTCTACCGCAAGGCTACCTACTTTTCAATAATGTCATTTCGACCGCGAGCATTGGTGTCATTTATTAAGCCAAAGGGCAAATCAACGCATTTCATGATAGATCCTCACAGTGACCTAGTGAGTCACAGTGGATAATTGCGTTCCCCAACCTACTGTTCCTTTTATACTGCTACCAGGGGCATCTGAACGACCTGGCACTCCCGCAAACAATGGCTTTATTTCCTGCTTAGCTTAAAAAGCGCTCAACTGACTCCTCAAAAAGGGACCATCGAAACCAGTGAAAGAAGCAAACGAGTCGCCGGATCCACAAGATTCCACGGCACCCCCACCACCACCTGCAGGTTTGAATGGGACCGAGGGAGCACCAAACAATGGGACCAAACCACCGGGAAAAAAGAAGGGAGGAGAAGCGAAAGGACCACCAGGAGGTTTCAACGCGACTCAGGAAGTGCCAAATAATGGGACCAAACCAGCGAAAAAGAAGGGAGAAGGGAAGGGACCAAATTTTAATGCGACCGATACAGCGCCAAACAATGGGACCGATATACCGCACAAAAAGAAGGGAGGAGAAGGAAAGGGACCCCCTGCGAATCCGACTAGTACAGCGCCAAAAAATAATGTTTGCCCAACAAAGCTTGCTTCGCCGAATGGCATCGACTCGGATGCTGCTAAGGATGGAGCATCGAATTGTGCACCAGCGCTTCCTGCGACGAACGGCATCGACTCGGATCCTACTAAGAAGAAAGGAGGGACAACTGCCTCACCGTTGCCGCTGATTGCCGGCGGTTTAACCTCTGAGGCAAACCCTGTTCTTGGAAGAAGGCGTGAGGATTTAGCAATTTTTGTTTGTTTCTTCCTGAGCTGGACTCTCAGATTTGCGCTCTAGAAGGGGGTTTAGAATATACTTTCGTTTTAAATACGCTCGTTATAAATATTTCATTGTAAATATATTTGTTGTAGATACAGTACTTCCTCGTCTAATATTCCCTTCTTTAAAATGTGGCATGTGGAGCGCTCATATGATTACGATATTATTATTGCACCTATCAAAATCATGACCAATTACCAATTTTTGTTCAAGGATTTTTTCTCTTCAAGATCGCCGGGATAATGTTGCTCTTTGATGAAGTGCGCACTGGTGCGGTACCGAGCGTCTCGCTTATTTGCCGAGCCCCTTAGCGGAACATGATAACATCAAAAGTAGCAGCATCCTCTACAAGAATTGCAACGAGCAATATTATTAGATTTAAGATTGAATCCAAAAATCAGATTCTTTTTCAAATGTTGGGAGAATCGCTCTAATTATCTAGAAAAGGTAGAATAATAACGACTTGTCGAAATATACTCACGTGTTCGATGACGTGACAAGCCACACATTTCCGATTAATAGAACCTGATTTAACACCTTTTCTATTTACGCATTTGGCTTGATTCTAATTCCTTTACTCACTATCTATATACCTACACAATACTTTCTTGTGAGCTTGTGGGTTGTATTTTATCTTTTAAATTCTGTATTGAAGTTTTCCCTAGCTAGTATATTACACTGATTAGAACGCTACCTAGGTACAACTATGTGGGTATATATCTCTATCTATTCTCTACGTTATAGTAATATTTAATAGGGGTTGGTAAATTGGTTTATTTACATAAATTTCAGTTAATCAATACCTCCGTTAGTGAATACAAATAAACCAGAAAACACGTTGGAGGAAAAAGAAATAGGTGAAGCTTCCAAAAATCAAATCTAAGAATTGATGAGAGAATGTTTGTTCACTGCATCAATAGAACCTGAAACTTAATACACGTGGCAGGTACAGGTTATCTTCAAGAACCTCTCACTTCAACAACGAACCAGTATTCCATAAATCAGCTTGGAGGGCTAAAAGATTTACCTCTATGAAATAATAATAATACCTGATTAAAGCAGTGAACAAGGTCTTCCTTGTCAGATATGTCGTTGACTTAGACATTTGACAGATTCCTTATATTGAGGGTAGTGAATTGCCTAGATGTGATCTCCTGACCAGACACAGCCTTTTAGATGAAAATTTTCTCGAAGCTTGCTCCTTACTATTGTAATATAAAGAGAAAGCAAGTCAAAACTTTACATTCTGAAGTGCTTTTCAATGCAAACCAGTTCCAAGAGCTGAGATAAAGGAGTAACTTATAAGCATGTCATTATCTCTCACTAGAAACTAGAAACTGTGGTGCCATTCACAAGAGAAATCCAAATCACTGGTGTAAATTCACTTTAAAAGCCGCACAACATAATATCAAAGTGAAATTAAAGTGGGACCAACCATAGGGTTAACCCTTAATGGTGAAAATTCAGTCTCCTTAGCGACAAGGACATATAAAAAACAAATCCCTCTTCCCATCGGATCCCATCTCACCATCCTTTCTCCTCCTTAAACTTCAACCTACACTCAACAACTTCTCCAACTCAAAACAATGTGAGTTCTCTTTGCCCACCCAATTCTTACCTTAAGCGGACAATCGCTAAGAGCGAACCAAAAGACAACACTGACGCTGCGTTCCCACTGCCTTCACTCCTTGTCCAAGATGAAGATTTCACTCATTGGAAGCATGCTGCTTGCAGCTTTGCCAGCATCTACCAATGCAATGGTACCATCCATTCGTAACGTTGATGCTGTCCATCGTCATACTAACCATACTCAGGTCTGGCCCACCTTACCCATCTCCGCCAGCATGTAAAAGAAGTGTGCCGCCCCTGATGGACTGTTCTGTAAGGAGGCTGGTGACATTCTTGCTGACTGCTATACTTACCGTGACAACTTCTTGGGAGGTATGCATGAGTGTTTGTGTGGTGCACCAGAGTAAGTCTTCCTAATACTCGTACTGAAGTAACAATGAGGCTAACACGAAGTCAGTTGGAAGACTTGGGCTTCTACCTGTGCCTCTTGCATCGCGAAGGAGTTGCCAGCTGGCGTACTCACAGACCCAAAGAATTTGGTTGAGGATACTAAATCTGTTATTGACGAATACTGCAAGCTCCCACCAAACTTTAAGAAACCACTTGAGGAACTTGCTTTCTATGGCGATATGTTGACTACCCGTTATCAATCACCCCTTCGATTCTTCAACTTTGAAGTCCTTACAGAGCCAATCCATTCCGCAGAATCTGTCCACCGCCACGATAGCCTCAAGAGAAAGAACATCAATAGAGATAGCCCTGTTGATTGGCCAGAATTGCAAGCCTGCTACAGTAAGTACTTCCACAAATTAAGCTATAAAACTCGCTAATCAAGCGACAGCATCCGCTGAATGCAACGCCGCTCGTGGGTTCTGGGATACCTGTTTCCACCATTTCTCACAACAAGATAGCCCCTACGACGCCGAGCACACCTGGAACTGCTTTTGCAGACAGCAAGGCCCAGAAACTGGTCCTGCGGGAGGAATCGATGGCCCGTGAGTCCCTCCGTTCCAAATTACTTCTTTGCTATCGTAACACTAATACATTTTTAGATGGGGAAGAAATGCAACGGCTTGTAACCAATGTATCAACAATGTCATCGCACCTTCCAAGCTCGACTCCTACACCATCATCAGCGAGTATTGCTACATCCAAATCGGCCGGTTCGAGGCAGCAGCTGAGGGGATGGTCTGGAGAGCCACTCAACAGACAATTGAACAGGGTTCTCCGATTCAATTGTTGAACTATACCCTGGTTTTGTAGCATAAACAAACCCTCTCTCCTTTCACATCAGACGAAGCACGACAGGTTCTTGGAGCACGAACGACGAAGGTAGTTTGGGGCATCTCTGAGAGGCATTTGGGAGTTTGTTGGATTTGGAAGGGGAGCAGATTTGTATGCTTTTCCTTTTGGGTTGGATGGTGATTACTGATTTTGATTTTTGGTGCTTGGGTCGAAATGCATAGGTTGTTGCTTCATAACCCTTTCTCTCTCTCTCGGGAACCAGGCTCTCCAAACTCTAATAGGGATAGTAATACACCAAGTCCATCGTAATAAGCACACGAATTTGTGGTCGCAATGAGTGAAATCATCGTACTTACACAAAGAACATGATTGCGGTTATTGACGCGAATCCAGTAATGAGGCATAAAATACGAGCTGGGTGGTGAAGGCGGAACTAAGAAAGCCACGATGCACGAGGTTCAAATGGGCTTACGAAAACCAATGAAGGTCGTCAGACCAGCGGGGAAGTCTCTCTCTTAGATACGGCAACAATATGTAGACGTAACTACGCCGCAACATCACATCCTTATCAACGACTATAAGCTGCTACAATCTTTCATACATAAATATAGAGACATCCGACAAGCAAGGCTTCTGATGGAAAGGCCTCTTTGGTAGAAAATAATCACGTGCCATACTACAACGCAACCTGAAGACCAGAGCGAACAAACTATTCAGCTCTCCCGCCATCAAAACAAGCGAACCCAGAATGGCACCGATAACTAGCAGCATTGAGATCAACGCCTCACCAGAAGTAGTCAGAGAAAAGGTAGATTCTCCTCACCACTACCCTCACTCATCTGTCACCAAAACCCTTAATCAAGAAATATCAAAATTCCATGGAAGTAATGACTTATGAGAAGTAGTTTTTGGACTTTAAATCCATCCCCTCCTACCAAAAAACCTTCATCATATCCCTGACTCCCCTCCCACAAGGAAGAAGTGGCATCGACCTAAAACCAGGCGATAAAATGTCCAACTCGCTCGGTGGAATAAACGTAACCCCAACCATCGAAGTACTCTTCCCCCTAACAAACCGCAGAAAAACAGCGCGCTCGAATTCCGCTGGCGCGGACCCTGGCCCTATCCATACCTGAACCTGCTAGAAGGAATCCACATCTTCCGATTCCTGCCCTCAGAGAAGAACCCTGGAGGCTGTGTGTTTATTCAGGAAGAAGATTTTGGGGGTTTGTTATGGTGGGTTATGGGATTGGAGGGTGCGAGAGAGGGGACGAGGGGGAAATTTGTGGGGTTTAATGAGGATTTTAGGGGGTGGGTTGAGAGTAGGGCGGTGAATGCGAGAACTTGAAGTGAGCTGGAGGAGTTTGAGGTTGAGGATTGCGTAAGAAGGAAAAGTGAGAATATTGGAAATTTGACTGATTCTTATTTTTGTAACAAATACCATGGTCCCTCGGTATTCGTAAAGACATAAACTTACGTCTGACCCAGACCAAACCTGAACGCCAAAGCTATATGCAACAACATTTTCTACACACACCAACTCCCCTATTTCTTGTCCATGAGCTCAACGCCGCTTCGTACAACTCCGACTACTGCCCCTGTTTGAACTACTTCTCCGCCTCCTCCACTTAATCGGTATTCGACCTCTGCCAATCCATCTAGCCATGTAATCATCACAGGTGCTGGAGCATCCAGCTTCGTCAGCTCTTCACTAAGCGTAGTGATGATATCTGCCAACGCTAAACCTTGGGATGCTTTCAGGGTGTTGATGAGCTGTAAACATGATGTGACATCGGTCGTTTTGAGGAGTGTATTCATGATAGTCTTGATATCGTCTGGATGTGGGGAGGCGATACATTCGTATATGGTCGTTTCGGTAATAAGGTCTCGCTTTATATCCTTCTCAGCAATTTTGGGAGTGCCCTTTATGTGGATTGGTGTACCTAGAAAGAACAAGTTAGTTGACTGCGGCAAATGTTCGCATGTAATTGACCTACTGCTTGCATGGCACGCCTGTAGCACATTCAATGCCCTTCTCATATCACCCCTACTCAATCTCACTAATGCATCTGTTGCTGGTGGATCAATCCGCACATTCTCTTCCGTAATGACCTTATCGACCAGTACCCGAATATCCTTTTCCTTCAGTGGACTAAATCTAAATCTTGTACATCGACTCAACAATGCTGGACTAAGCTTATGTGTATAATTTGCAATCACGCAGAATCTTGTATTCGCCGTGTATTTCTCCATGATTCGTCTCAAAGCCATCTGTGCTGTCGATGTCATCGCATCAGCCTCGTCCAATATAATGAGTTTGTAGGTTGCCATCGAATTGTTTGCGCCAGAATTTTGATTCATAGTGAAGATCTGTTTGGTGCTTGCGAATGTCTTGATTTGTTCACGGACAACATCGATACCTCGATCGTCTGAAGCATTCAGTTCGAGGACCATTTGGCGTACATTCTTTGCTCCATATATCCGTCTCGCGAGTGCCAGAATCGTCGATGTTTTTCCGGTTCCGGGAGGGCCGTAGAGGAGAAGATGGGGTAGTCGCTGGATTCATTAGCTTGTGCGTTGGTTGCAATGCTCAATTGTACTTACATTTGTGTCTACAAATTTATTGATTGTTGCCAGAATATCTTGATGACCAGAAACATCATCCAAAGTATCCGGACGATATTTTTCTACCCTTCTTCTTGGTTAGTATATATGTAGACCAATTGGCGGGGGGTTATACCAGGGCAGACTATCTTCAGCCTCCACTGGGAGATTCGCAGCACTTCGTTTGCCTTCTGAAGTTTTATCGGAGCTGAATAATACCGGGTTGTCTACTGCTGGCGCATCAATGTCCATTCCATCCTCGTAGTCTGACATTTTGACGTTTTGTAAGGGGATTTGTGAGAATGAGTGATGTCTGCGTTGCGGAGCTATTTGGGAAACGCGACAACGCGAGAGCCCAAAAAGTTCGCGTTGAGTGCTTCTGGCCGGCCCGTTGGTGCAGACGACCCATCGCACCGCACCCACCTGGTTGGAAGGGGCGAGGATCGGAGCGAGATCAGGGAGCCGGAACCAAAATCGGCCAGTACCGGCGGCCGAGGGCCGAGTTAACTACATAGAGCGAGGGTTACTCCGTACAGCTAGTTCATTGTCTGCACCAACAACCATATAGCAGCACTTTCTTTGGCTCCTGAACAACGGTGAATTTGACTAGTAATGCCATAGTGCCCAGAAAAATAAGGTTAAAACGATTACGTGCTGCATTAACGTAGGTGCGTACCTGAAGGCGAGAAACAGTCGAAGGCTCCCGAGGTCTTGTGGACACCTCATATCTCACTTCACGATTAAAGACTCGAGATACGGAAAGTATAAAATCGCGGAATCATCAAGCGCCTTGTGATATCTCCGAATTTCAGAAAATGATCATGATCACCATTATCGCCAACTTGTCCAAGATACGAAGTATGTTTATCGATGTCACGGAACTTCCCGAAAAACCACCTTTGTTATGTACTAAGTACATTGTGAAATTGTTTCAGAATTCTCGTTGCATCGATCTTCGTGAGATCACAGATCGTTGACCGTCACCCGATTACGAATGTCGCAATGAATCTATCTAGATTGCCACCAGTAGAAAGCACCACGTTGCTACGCTGTGGCCCACAATAACCAGAAAACAAAGATTCCAAAGGAGAAGACCATACCTAAGAAGTGTTTGGTCAATATATACATGGCATTTCTCTTAAAATATATACAGTTCATGTAGTTAAGATCTACATCCAATTAGGGTAAACACAAGGATTCTCCGCCTGGTCCTTCTCAATCTTTCCTATATTCCACCCAGATTTATACACAACGCCAGATTGCGGTGGACGCCTTTCACCCAATCTATAAGAATAAGACAACCCGCAAGTTTGTTCGAAGTGTACATGTTGAAAACACCTAGGATCCTCGTCGCAAGCCTTCCTGCAATTCTCGTATGAGAGATGAGCTTCTTTTTCCACCTCGGACATTTCTTCGGGGGTTTTTGTTGATCCTTCTACTTCCGGGTGGTTGAGGATAACGTCGTCGGAGAGGTTATACCAGTCCTCCCGCTCTCCTATCATATATGGCTTTGTAAGATTCCGATATAGATCCCCGATTAACAGAGGTTTCTAGTGAATGAGTTAGGATTTTCAATGAGAGCAGAAACATAGGGGTAATGACCTGAACATCCGGTCTTTCTGATTCGTAAAGCCAAATACTGTTAGTTTCTTCTGGGTTGACGTGGTGCATGGTAATAATTGGCTGACACCAGTGCCTGGTTCCAGAATCCGGCCCTGGACCAAATGGTATCGTGGACGGTTTCTCTCCTTGAAGCAACGGCCATTTATGAGTAAATTCGATACCTTGCTCCATCAAAGCTTTCGTAAGAATAAAATCTCCATACGTCTCCATCTGTGCAACGGAGTCATAACGTGCAACTAATTCTGTATTGTTCTCCGAAAATTTTGAGAGCGCCGCTCCAGATAAAATGTAACCACTCCCCCCATGTGAGAATGAAATTTCATCATAATATGCCGGGGATCCAAAGTAGAGAAGCTCGGTCGATTTGAGACGGTCCAGCCATAGCAACAAATTGGTCCACACGAGATATGTGTCCGCTTCAATGAAAACATACCACTTTTTACCTGGCTTCATTTTCCATGTTTCTTCCAGCATTCTAATGAATTTGTACTTGTCCAAATTCCAACCCGCCTCGTGGGTGTGCTCTTTAATTTTTCTAATGTCTTCGCCATTCTTCTTGTACTCTTGGAGAGTTCGATAGTAGTCGAAATCGGGGTTGTTTGCCTTGACTTCTTCGGCAACGTTCTTCAGAACGTCATGGATGTGATGAGAGCCCAGATGTTGTTCCAGATCAGAAAAAAGAAGGAGATCGTCGACGCACCGGAGCATGGTTAATAGTTGGGTTGGAAGCTTATCGAAAATTTCATTTGCGCCAGTTTTTAGCACCACCAGAATCCCGGAAGAATCCCCGAATGAATCGCAGTAGCTTTTCGGTGCCGGAGTCTCCGTTTTGTTTTTTAGTACTGTCTGAAATTGCCGTGCTTCGAAGTACGGTGGTGGTTGTGGTGGATTGAAGCTCGATATTCTGAAAGGCTCGTAATCTAGAAGACAAAGAAGGAAAATCTCAAATAATATAAGAATACAAATTTTAGAAGATAGCAGCCGAGGAAAAGCTGCCAACAAAATCATGGCGAAGAATAAGATATAGTACAGGTACATAAGTAGACACTTAGCGCCTAGCCATGAGAGAAAGAGAAGAAGGTAAAAAATCTTCAACTCAATTTTTTTTGTGGCAGCCCCAGTCTTGTAAGCAGTGTGTACGATCACTATTTTTGTAGCTTACTGTTGGCTTCGGTTGGGCTTTGCCTCAGGTGTTTTGGGCTGAGGCAACAGTGTCGCTCTTGACTGTAAGTTTACAGGGGATCACAGGATGCCGAACTTGGGATGCATGGCCATCCTAACAAAGCGTTTTGCTTTCGGGTTGAACAAGGTGTTCAATACGCTGTCTTAATATCGTCAGAATACAATAAACATAATATACAGGTCTTGTGACGTGGATAATATAGTGATGAGAGCATTGAGTTTAAGCGTGATTGTTATTCGATTACTTGTTTAAGTGATGCTCCTCAAATTGATGTACAGTTCATCCGCCAAATAGATTAAGCAGTCTAGGTAAGCGCATCGCGCTTTGATACTGCACAGTGAATAGCTTCCACTTGGCTGTTTTATTTATCAAGTGTAGATCACATGATATACAGGAGAGTGGGTTTTGAGTTTCCCTGAGACTCATCTAGATTACAATTATTGAAACTTTCTCGGACAATAAGGGCATTCATCCCAACAGATCTACTAGTAGATTGATCTCACAATTCATCCTAAGGATGGAGAAGAACGAGGATGAATATTCACTGCGCAGGGTACAGCATGCCGCATGCGCCCACATGGTGACGCAAGTATTCGCCATCCAACTTGCAGAACCAACTGAAAACGCTAAACGTAATTAACCAACAAGTTTCATGTTGGGTTTTCTTTGAACAAATATGGCTTGGTCCAATAACATCAATTTATCGAGTTGGCTGTTTCAAGTAACATGCGCCATCCTGGATTATGAATATCACAGGACATCTGGCCGTTTGGATGTGAACACTATGACCAAAATTTGATATATATAAGTACGAACAGAAAGATGGAAAGCAAAACGGCCTGTAGACAGATATAAAGCGTTACTCGTATTGTAAGCGAATCTCAAGGTTATAAGGAACGAAGAATGGGTTGAAATAATAATGATGATCTACAATTGTCAAAAAAGAAATACCTAGACTGATATATCTCACTCACCAATTGCGCACATGACGAATCTGCTATATACACACATTTGATTCCATACGATTAAATTCTCCGATTGTTCACGACTAATGTTACCAGATAACAACCGTTCGCCATTTACCAAATTTATACTTTTCTGGAAACTAAAAACTACATTTCTACTCGTCGAGTTCATATCCCCTAACGCCGATCTTGTTTCTACTACTCGTACTGGAATTCTTATACGAACGTCAGGGTCAATTTGACTTACGCATGTAAAACAGTTGTACAGCTATGATAAGAGAATGAGTATGTAGCAGCTTTAATTATGTGTAAGGACTGTATAAATTTTAGTAGTAGAAACAACATTAATGTTAGGGGATACTTCAGATAGATGAACCCGACGCGTAATAACATTACACAACAAATTCTGAGGAGCGATCATTAGTTAAACTCAGTTCAGGTTCAGCGATTTATCTAGGAACTACTCAATACTGCCACTACTTATATCTCTACCTTCGAAATCGACCGTAAACCGGTTTTACTAGTCCTACGTGAAATATACTCATACCTAGGTTACTTACTCCAATTGGGATACGTAGCAGCCATCAACGGCAAAGATATCGCACGGTTTTTCTTTATCATTTCACCTTTTCGATTCCTTGTATAATGCTTGACAGAAAGTAAAGATTAAAGATTTATTAATAATTAGTAGCACAATTAAAATCTACATCAAAACCATCGCGACTCCAAAGACCGCGCTTTTAACTACCATTAAGCCACAGGAGAAGAATATACTCGATGCCGAACGTTTCGCAGGAGTAGACGCCGCAGCTTGACCGTTGTTCAACGTCGCTACAGTCGGTGAGACTTGGGAACCGGAACCGCTAGCGCTACTAGCGACGATGGATGTCGAAATTGGTCGAGAACTTGAGCCAGAAGAACTTGAGCCAGAAGGACTTGTGGCGAGCTGTGAGGAGCTTTCCTGACTTGTAGACTCTGGGGAAGCGACTTGACTTGCAATTGACGATGGCAACGAAGAAGCCAAGAGTGCCGGGGATGATGAAGAGAGGCTTGGTATGACTGACGGCTGCGATGCCTGTAGAGTTGTTATTGAAGGGATAATTTCAGCGCCAGCTTTTGTCAGGCCGATGATTAAAGTTCATGTTAGAGTGTCTGCTGGTATGGGATTTTGGTTCAACTCACTGGAAGCAATTAATTCCGCATTCATCAATGCACTATCAGAAGTTGGAGTTGGTACAGGTGGAAGTGGAAGTGTTTTCACACCACCACCTGGTTCTTGCACTATTATTCCACTAGGTGCAAGACTTATCACCTCTTCGCCTGATAAGGTGATGGGAGAACCACCGATTTTCAACGTTTCGCTTCCAATAATAACCAAACTCCCTCCAGGAGCAGCGGTAATCACATTCCCATTCACGGTCCCTATTATTGAAGGTGTGGTAACTGCAGGCTGAAAGGGCGCAACAGGCGTAGGAATGGGATAGGTTGAAACTGCTCCACCAGCACTTTGAACGATCAATCCTGAGCTTCCCAAAGTAGCCAAAATCTCATTTCCTGCAATCGCCACAGGCAATCCCCCGGAACTGATAGTATGACCCTTGATAACGACTGTCGAAGCGCCCGGGATCATATTGATAACCTCTCCGGCAACAGTTGCAATTGATTTTGACGGCTGATTCGGAACTTCGGGATTCGCTAAAGGTGTTGGCGCCCCTGAATTTACAACGACAGGATTCGGATAAAATTGGCTTGCCGTACTGCCATCACCAACGCTCACAACATAGATTCCAGATGGGGCAACAGAAACTAAAATTGGTGATTTGTTTTTATCTGAGTTTGTGATCGTAGCCAATGAGCCTACGTTGGCTGTCGAACCATCTGGCAGAATGATATTAGGCGAATCTACTTTAGCGCTGATTGTATTACCTCCAACGATAGCGACGACGCTTACCGGAGGCTCCTGAGGTACATTCGAGGGTATTGCAGATGCTGAGGTTATTGGAGATGTTGAAGTGGGTCCAGGTCCTTTTCGAATATCGTTGCCCTGATTCATCGGCAGAGAGGCAGGTTTCGAAGGCTGGCCAACTTGTGCTGCTTGACTTGAAGGTTGATTTGGCGGCACTACTGGAACGAGTGGATTTGAAGGCTGACTAGGCTGACTAGGCTGACTTGGTTGAGCTGACGGGGTAGGTTGTTGCACGGGTCTGTTTTCCACCGCCGTTGGAGGGGGCACGACCGGCTGTGGTTGAGAGGTATTTGAGAGTTGAACTGGCACAGGATTCTGTATCGTCGCTGGAGGTGTTGAGGAAGGAATTATTCTGCCAGCCCGTGTTGGGGCTGGGGGTGGTAAAAGGCCTGCCCCAGATGATAAAGGTGGGACGGCTCCGGGAGGATCAAAGAGTCCATTCTCGTCATTTAGTCTCGTGCAATGTTCCCAATATTTATACTCCAAAGATTGTAGTTGTGGTGGCCAAGAGATACGAGGACTACATCGGTTGAAATTGTCATGTGCGTATGGATGTGTCGTCCAATGTGGTCCATTTGTGATGGTCCTGCCTTCAAAAGCTGCCCTCTCACAGTCCGTAGCTATGTCGTTCAGGTCCAACCTTTGGGGGGCTCCTATCATACTTTTGTCGTCGGCATTACCGAATAGCTGGAGCGTGGAGACTTCTTCTGGATTTATTGCCAAAGGGTAGTGGGTAAATGTCGGGCCTAGTTGTCCACATTTGTTTGAAGCGGCTACCGTCTCTAAGACAATATAGATTGATGGCGATGTCCTATCGTGATTATTAGAAAATCTCGTTAAAGTGTAATGAAGTAAGAAAAGAGCATTTCAACACGTGAACCCCACTCTTCCAGGAAGCAAGAAATATAGCAGTTAATAACTGCACTATTCTCAGTCCCTTGAATTGTTCTTGTTTGTCCTCTATATGTTATGGAAGTGTAAATTAGTTAAAAGAATGTTTTAGTATAAGTAAAGTAAGTGCCTCAGATATCTAAGGTAATTACTTGAGTTGCTAGAAAATGGGGGGACAGTAAAAACATGTCTGCTACCACTTATTGTTTCTATGCAGAAAATCTCGAAGAACTTAACGAAGAAAACACTCAAACTCTAGACTATCGTGGCTCTGGTAATGATGGCTGACTTACATTGTTATCTTTAATCTGGGCTCAAAGTATGTTGTGGGGTATTGGATCGTCCCCGATGGCGTGAGAAAGTAGCTCAATTTCACTTTCCAGGCAGATCTTTTGAGAAATATTAGAATAATAAGAGTATGCCAATGTAGTGCTACTCACATCGTGCATCCTGGCCACCATGGATTATCCCGAGAATCTTCATGCCAACAAGTATTCGAAGGAATGGTTGAGTTACCCCATGGATAGTAACCCCAAGCTGGATGATTACCCCACGGAAATACACCCCACTTCAGATTGGGATCATACTTGGGACCAGTCGTAATTGTACTTCCGGCGCCGGCAGAGACTTTTGTTGACGAGGACTTTGTTGAAGTGGAACCTGATTTATTTGTCGTGTGTTTGACGGTAGCACCACTCTTTGGATTACTTGTACTGGCGGAATTGATCTCTGAGCTTTTGGACACAGTTTTTGAAACTTTTGTGGCATTTTCCGTGATTTTGGGTGGGCTCTTCGGAGGCGATGTCGAGATAGCTGATTTCCTTTCGCTAGTGGAAGCCTTGACTTGTTCCGCTGCTGACGAACTTGAGCTCACTGAATGACTTTCTGAGTGATTTGTTGTAGAATTTGATACTGAAAGCTTGGTAGAACTAGATGATTTAACCTCGGTTGAGGTTAACAGGGACTGAGATGGTGGCAATCCCGTCGATGATTTGGCTGGGAAAAGACTTTCGGTTGTTATTTGAATTGGGGTAGAAGATGCTGAACCGAGTGTGATATGTGAACTAGTCGAGTTTATTGTAGTTGATGTAATTGATGTGCTGGACTTGGATGAACTAGATGATGATATTGATGAGGAGCCGGGAATTATATCCTTTCGCTGGTAAATCCTTTCAACTGTTAGAAATGAAGGAATGATCGGTTAAAGCCAAACTTACTTGATCCATAACCTAGCTCTAGCCAACTAGCAAATGAAAGGATTGTGCACAATTGTCCGATCTGGTTGAGATGCATTATTGTTGAGGCTAGAGAACAACGATCATGACAGGTAAAACGAGGGTATATAAGCGCAACAGATTCGAGGAAACACAACTCGAGGAGCTCGCGAAAAAATTTCGAGTGATTAATTTCGAGGAGGGGATAGAATGAAGAGACAAGGAAGAGAGAGAGAGAGGTTAGTAGTACTGGATCTTTGTTGCTATGGCTCCCCTACCTCAACCACTTTCTGTGTGCCATGCTGCTTGTTGTAAACAGAGTTGTATTGTCGAGGAGAAGCAACCAGTATTTGGAAACAACTCTCCGCTCCTCCAATTGGAAGATTTACATTGGAAGGATTGTGCGAATAGCTATTTCTGCAGGAACACAGCCCTGTTCTCCGCAGCATGGTGACTCACCTCAATTGAAGAAAACAGAGGAAGCCACGTGGGTGGCAATATGCATGGACAATAGTCAAAAAGTCTCGTACGACAGGAAACTTGTGCCAGTGAGGCACAGTACAGTATCGCCCATACCAGGCTACTTACTATTGGACAAAAAGTGTGCAGTTTGCAATGAGCAGATAAGCGACCAGGAAAAGTCAGTTGGTCGTTCTGTGGGAGGGCAGATCCTTCTGCAAGTCTTTGTCTCCCCGGATGTTGATTTGTCGAGAATCAATGGACCGGCTATTGATGTAGGGTGCAGGAAGGGTTGTACTTCTGTAACGAAAAGGGGAGAAAGTCCGAGCGACAGCACCTTTTCAGGGGTGTTGTTGGTGCCGATGCAGAGGAAATACATAAACCAACCATAATTAATCATCCACGCCACTTTCTTTCCCATTTCATCACATTACAACCCCAGATACCATGTCATTGCATACTGACTGTCCAAAAGTAAAAGTTCAAGACGAAAAGTACCCAATATAGTGCGAAGCGATAGGATTTCAGAGGAGGCACAGTCTGCCAACCTCCTGCTCAAGAAAGGTCTCCGCCTCGTATGGTACCTACGTACCTTATCTTGCCTATACCATAATCTATCTAATTACCAAATTTAGAGGAGCGAGATACACTATATTACGTTTACGAGCGCAACGGCGACCAGGCCGCGACGTTGACATAGTATCGCTTAAATAACGAGGCTCGTGGGACAAGTTCTCAGCCCCTCAAGTAGGCTTGATAAGCACACTTGACGCCCGGAATGATAATCTGCGGCAGTTCTTTTTGAATCATGGGGTCTAGGATTCCAAATACGGGGGAGCTTATGGTTTCAAGGATCAAGTGAGCAGTAGGAAACAATCTAGACAGTCAGACACTGAAGATCATCCACCACCAGCCCAAGGGGGCCGGTTGGCGCAATTTAGTTACATCTGCACTGCACGTCTTTGATCAAATGCATGACATGAAAACGTGCCGTTGGGTGCTACCTCAATTGTTCCCTTCCGGTTCATCGTGGTGTGCTCTCAATTCTTCCTTCTTTTCCAACTTAACCACGTAGGCGCAGACGAGAGAACCAGCCCATCAATTGTTTTGAATCCTCAGAAAAATGCAGAGTCGCAGGCGCGATGCGCACTCAGTGGCTTCTTTTCTTAATATCTGTTCAGTCTCAATATCTAAGACATCTGCATCGTTACTGCATAGAGAACAAACGAAAGCGGGTTTTCAAGTTCAAAGGCGTGGGAAACCAACAGTTCCTCAGCCTATTGTTGTGCCGCCGAGCCAATACTGGTAATAAGACTCATAGTTTGAATAGAATCACTTGCTGATGATTGATTTAGGGACGGAGATGATGGTCAGTGGTCTTCATTGGGATTGAGAGTGGGCACACCGGCGCAAAACATCCGAGTTCTAGTCTCGACAAATTCTCCAAACATCATAGTTGTCTACCCACAGGGTTGTTCAAAGGATGCGATGAATCCTCTGCCTGACAATTGCGCCATTTCACGAGGAGTTCTGTTCAATTCTAACATTTCCTCAACTTGGCATCCTCAAGGTCTATTCGGGATAAACGATTTGAAGCAAATCTTGGGTATAAAGCCAATGCAGAGTATGGGCTAGAGACAGTGGGACTAAGTCATGTTTCTGGAGACGAAAATGGGCCAACTCTTGTCAATCAAACAATTGCTGGAATTGCGACAGCATCTCCTTTTTACGTGTGGGTATTCTTTTGAACTCTTATCTTGAAAAACACTAATTTGCAGTAACAGAGGAATATTCGGCTTAGGTACACAGCCAGTCAATTATACAGACCTTGGAAACTTCTCCGCGCCTTCGTATTTTTCTTCTCTCAAAGTTCAAAACCTGATACCCTCCCTAAGCTGGAGTTACACAGCTGGGGCAAAATACCGTGAGTTCTATTATTCGGTTGCTGGGATCATATATTGACATCTACTAGAACTCAAAGGAGGTCAATTCTCTCAGTTGATTTTCGGAGGATATGACTCTTCGAGATATACTCGCAATACTGCAAATTTTACCCTCAGTCCAGATATTACTCGAGATATTGTCGTCGCCGTGCAACAAATTTCATTTAGTGGCACTACACAAGAAGTTCTCCTTCCAAAGCTCCTCTATGCCTTTATCGAGTCAACAGATCCCAATTTCTGGCTTCCCGCCGAATCGTGCAGGTTCGTCTCTTCTAAGTCCCGCTATCAAAAATATTCGCTTGTTTACTATATAATTAGGGCTTTTGAGAAGGCATTTGGCATATCTGTTGACAACAGCACGGGGCTTTATTTGTTGAACGCGACGCAATACGCCAAGCTTCATGCAACTAATCCTTCAGTCACCTTTACGTTGTCAAATAGTCTTTCAAGTGGAAAGAGTGTTAACATCTTTCTGCCATTTGATTCCTTTGCATTATCCGCAACCCCACCTTTTGTACCGAACGCCACATTTTATTTTCCACTTAAGGAAGCTTCCAACGATACACAGTATACTCTCGGCAGAACATTTCTTCAAGAAGCGTACGTAATCGCTGCAGGTAGACTTGTTCGTTATGCTTACTATGAAATAGTTATTTGACCGTTAACTATGAAAGGGGGAACTTCTCGGTTATCCAATGCACTTTCGACGATGGCTCAGCCTCTCAAATAACAACTATACCATCAATTACCTCTGATGGAACCGAGAAAAAGTCGAATGGTATCGGCGCTGGACCTTTAGTGGGCATTGTAATTGCCATAATAGCCTTCATTATTCTCATAGGGGCATCAGTCTTCCTCTACTTACGAAGGAAGAAGCGAAGAGATGTGATTGAGCCCAGAGATGTCGTAGCATTACCGTTACCTGAGCCTTCATACACTGTTTACTCTCCCAGCCTGTCAACTCGAAGTCCGGAACCACAATCTATAAACCCCAAAACTGAAAACGATAGTAACGTCTGGACCTTTTCCTCGGAAATGGAGAGTGACCCAATCACTATCCCTATGAAGAGAATTCACCGACAAAGATCAGAACTCTCTGATACATCACAAATTCGCCCCGAACTCCCGGCAGCGGACAATCGTGAGGGAACTTTATTTGAAGAAGATCAGCAGATCCAATCTTCCAGAATAGCAGATAGAACAGCTGAATTGGATGGTTCTGGAGTTTTGTACGAATTGGATGCTGAACCCAAAGATCCAACGCCGAAAGCTAGTCCTGGATTAAGTCCTACGGAGCCAGTTCATCTACCATCGACAGCTGGAGGTTTGCATAACCAAGTCAATCCTGACACGAATGCAGAAGATCAGACACCAGTTCAGCCAACCTCCTGGCTCGACATGAGCGAAAGAATAGCGGGGAGCAGAAGAACTGGTAGCTCTCCTGTATCGCCACTACGTCCGGAGGAAAGAGAAAGGGACCCCTCAACTTCCGCACTAAGTAATAGAGGTGGTTCGAGATATTGCATGCGTGACTCTCTCGGGGTATCAAGTCCACTCTCCTCGAACACATCGAACGAAAGTCTTTACAAAGAAATATGAGGCACCAGCTCATTCTGACATTATATAAATCCGAAGTCGCAGGTCTCGTATGCTCATCAAAGTCAGCAGCGGCAGAACAGCCCCGAGACGTCATAGAATGTCTGCGCCATCGTTCCCGTGAAGCTTACAGGACCAAAATGATCATGCGAGTAGGCTGCTTTTGTCGCCGGATGGTACCTGGAAAATTCCGGTTTATGAAGACTCTGCCGTTGACGCCACTGATTTGTCCTCACGATAATATCTTCCGGTTCCCATTTCATGGCGCCATGGCAGACAATTACCATCATAAGTTTACCTACCACGTCTGAACATATCAATTGTATATATTTCACATACCAAGACTCGTGTTAATTAAGCCACATAGGAACCCAAAGATAATAATAAATTTCCGATTCTTCCATACCAATGTTCGTTGATCCTGCTGCCTCATGCCCGCCAAGTCTATCACACCTTTTCATATTTTCCCCTTGCCGTCGTTAAAAGCCACATTTATTATGAACCCTTGTATTTTATGTATTTTATGTATATTATGTATCTTACGGCGGGCTAAAAAAGTTACAGTAAGTCCTTTTCCCCTGGGGTTGTAACCTTCTCCGTGATCTGAAATTATTCTTCTTATTTCGAGAAATTAAAATAATTAGCCGAACATACGGGCAGAACCGAAGTACTTCGCAAATGTCCATAAAAGTTTATTTCAACTACTGTACCTACCCCGCGAGCCAATAAGAAAGAATGCACAACGGGAGTGATATACTGCTGTTTCTCTCTCAGCAGGTCGCTTATATACCCCGTAAGCAAATCTCATGATTGTCATTATCTCCGTAATCGTATGACTCTCATCTCTCCTACTACGCCTCTCAGCAAATACGAAAACCGATACCGTTACACCAAAAGGGCAACCGAGCCAGCAAGCTGAGTGTAAACAAGCAATTGGAACAACAAAACAGTCAGCTGACGTCCCGTGTACCCAGGTATTGCCAATTATTCGGAGCTGGAGGAGGCTCATTCCATTCCTCAGCCAAAAAGTGACATCTTGGCAAACAGCCACTTCCCATTCCTCCTTAGTCTACACTGTAATTGGAGCATTTTCTCAGTGAATTAGGTCTCAATGCCAATTGATCGGCCGTATTCACTGTGCCGTATTCTTTTGCTGTTGCCTTGTTTCTGGTGAATTGGATGGGGTAAGGCGGGGTATATAGGAGGGGAGTGGTACTTCACAGTTTAATTACGATCTACCTACCTATCTACTTATTTACTTGCCTACCCCCTACACAAAAACACATCAGAAGCCTTCCAAAAACTCATATTCAAGATGCAGTTTACTTCTCTCATCCTCTCTGTTCTTTTTGTTGCCAGCAGCGCCGTCATCGCTGCTCCTTCAAGCGGTTAGTATCTTATTCTTTCCCTTCCCAACCGAAAAGTGACCACAGAACTGACAATAAAATAGCTGCGGCTGCATTGTTCACCCGAGGATCTTGCAAAAGCCCATCTTGCACTTCAAAATGTACGTTTCAATCTCACCCGCCCCAATAACCAAATACTAACATACCACAGGTCCTGATGGAACGTACGTGCTCTTGTTCCTTGTCCCCTCTTCCACCTTTCACTATACGTACAGAAATTTAACACCCATATTCAGACCTTACGACTGCTGCGTAGACTATATCCGCGACCCCTGCAGTGACCACCAAGCATGCGAGGAAATCGATTGTCTCTGCAAATGCGAAGGTAGCGCGTAAGTACACTTTCCCTACCACCTTCACTCCTCCCCAACACCCTACAAACCAGAACAGAAATCTAATCTTAAACTAAACATAGTACAACGTACTTATGTAACGCCAACTATTTTGTCGATCCTTGCAAGCCTCTAAACGGTAAGCGCGTCGATGCCTAAGAAGACACTCTGAATATCATGGAAGGCTGAGGATATAAAGCATGTCTATTTAAGAAGTCGGGTGTTACAGACTGAAAATAGATGGTTCTTTGGGGTACGGCGAACAGTTCTTCATGGGAGATTTGCCATTTGAGGGCGTTTGGCTGAAGCTATTTCATTGGGAGGGTTGAGAACAGGGAATGAATGGATTTTGACAATTCATCCATATTAAGCACTGTACCATCGCATCCTGCTTCTCATTTCTGATCATTTCTGTAGAGCGGAAGTCTTATAAGTATGACAGGTGACGGTAACATTGACCCTTTTATGAAGACCGCTGGCATCTTGACAAATACTCGCAGTCATGAAGTCCTATCATCTACACTAATGAGATTGATGCAAAGTGAAAACGACCAGGCAAACAACCCCGATTCTCGCTAAATCTCCCCTTGTGAAGATGTTTTCGATGTCCGGATGCATATGGAGCGTTGAAGAGGGTACGGAGTACAATACGGAATGCTATCACTGCTTTAAAACCCATCATATTGATTTCTTGAAGAAGAACAATTAGGAGAAAGACCTGAGGTTTCCGTGATTAATGTAAGTGAATGATTGTTCTTGTAAATTTTGGATCAAGTACTTGCTGCTGAGTAAGAGAAGCAGTCAGTGAATTTCTACCAGATACCTCATCTCAGAATGACAGGGGTAGCTTGGGGTTGGGCTTGGCATCTGCCTCATTTCCTCCCCCGCCATAGGAAGCTATCGAAGCTTCAGCCTTACTCGAGTATCGCCTTCTCAAACAATTGCGCATGCCAGACCATCTGTGAGAAATCCGATTCCACCACATCACATCCAATTCGCCAAATCCCAAACTCAAGATGGCATCTCCAAAGATTGCCGACGCTCTGAAGCAGATCTCTGCGTCACCAGATAAACCACAAGGCTACGAAACTCTCCTCTCCCAAGTCCACCTAGCATCCACACCCGAACAGCTGCCAGGAGACCTCATCGCCATTATCGACTCCATATTTGCAGATTCCCTGGGAATCGTAGCAACACGAGCGCTCTGCGGAACATTTGTACAAAAGCTCAAGACGGTTTCCAGCAACGATACGAAGGTCACAGTCGGTAGCCACGCCCTCGAAATCATCCAAGCTCAAGCATCCTCCTTCGAAGAACAAAATGCGCAAATCAGAGAGCTTATGGCATCCGCCTATGAAGACGACGAGGATTACCAAGCCGCTGCCAGAGTTCTAGCTGGTATTCCCCTTGAGTCGTCGCAGCGCAAATGGACAAACGAGGATAAGGTCAAGTTCTGGATCCGAATTACACGAAACTACCTCGAAGTAGACGATACGACTTTGGCAGAGCAATACCTGAATAAAGCCAAGAATCTCATCTATACCGTCGAAGATAATGATCTCAATTTACATTTCAAGTTGTCCCAGGCACGAATTCAAGATGCTCGACGTAACTTTTTGGCTGCCACTCAGGGTTATCAAGATATTAGTATCATGCCAGTTGTTACAGAGGACGAACGTTTGCATACTTTGAGTATGGCTATTAAATGTGCTGTTCTGGCGCCGGCGGGACCACTTCGCAGCCGTGCGTTGGGAAGATTATACAAGGATGAGCGAGCGGCTACCTTGGAGGAATACCCGATACTTGAAAAGATGTTTCTAGATAGATTGTTGTCGCCAGAGGAAGTCGCAAAGTTTGCTGAGGGATTAGCACCACATCAACTTGCAAAGACGTCGGATGGCAGCACTGTGTTGGCAAAAGCTGTGGTTGAACACAATTTGAGAGGCGCATCTAGAATGTACAACAACATCGGGTTTGACGCTCTTGGATTGTTGCTTGGATTAGATGCAGACAAGGCGGAAGATACTACTGCTCGGATGATTGAGCAGGGTCGTTTGGTTGGTAGAATTGATCAGGTTGAGAGAGTTATTTGGTTTGAGGGTGGTGAGGCTACTGGCGAGAAGGGTAGTGGACGAGCAGAAGGCGTAGTTGGGAAAGAGCTGAGACGATGGGATGCCAATGTTCAAGGTTTGACGGAAGAGGTCGAAAAGGTGACTTCGGAACTACAGTTACGATATCCCGTGAGTCTCCCTAAACTATACCGCGGGACCAAATACTAATACGATGATGATAGGACTTTGTTGTGGCACATTTGGTAGTTTAATTGATGACGATAAATTGTTTTAGGAGTTGGGGAAATCATGATGCAGCCATGAAAAGACATGACTTGGGCATAGTAATGGAGTTAACGAAGAAATGAATAGCATGAGAGCCGAAAGAAAAACCACTACACGAATTAAAACAGTCTCACCAAATTTCTCAAAACTCCACGTCTCCATCCACAATTCCACATCTTGCAACATCTTTTGACCCTACCGCTTCTCTCTAATTTCCTTGCTCCCCCTCTTCTTCAACTCCGTCCTCATCGTCCCCCCACTATCCTCATCCTCTTTTTCCGCTCCCCTTTTTCCATCCCTCTCATTCTTTACTCCCATCTCCTCTCCAACCAACTCGATAATCCTCGCCGCCAACAACCTCCCCATAAGATCATATCCCTTACTGGAATAGTGCACCCCATCACCCCAAAGCTCCTTCTTCTCCTCCTCGCCCAAACTCTCATACGGGATCTCATTATACAAATCAAAGGTATATAACTTCCCCTCCTTCGCTTTCGCGTCGGTTGCGTGAAGTCCCCATTCTTCCTCCAACCGTCGCTCTTCGGCGAGTATCTCGCCCTGTGCTAGGATCGCGCTGTTGATTTTAAGCCGTTTGGGAATGAGAGCTGTCTCGCAGGTGGGACATTCGGGGATGGTTAGTGTGAGGACGTCTGTGGAGTTGGAGAGCGGGATTGCCCATACGTCCTTTAGGGCGCGGTAGATGGAGGTGGGGGAGGCGTGTTGGAAGAGGTCGTTTGTTCCGCCTAGGATTATGGCGTGGGTGAAGGGGTTTTGGGGGTGTGTTTCTTGGTCTGAGGGGGGTGTTAGTGAGATATTGTAGCCGCCTTACTCTTGATGTTCTTTTTTTTTTTTGGATGAGGCATTCATGGTGAGATACGGAGGCTTGTAGTAGCCTTGATGGGCCAGGGAGGTAGCCGAATGGTTTTAACGATACGTAATGAATGGAGAATTTGACTGGGAATTTTAGAATAATTGAATCGATCAACCTAGATGCCTAGGTCAATCACTCAGGTGCTTATACAGAGTTGGAAGAATAAGAGTAATGTTCACTGCTCTTTACTTGTTTACTTGGCGGCCCTGCTGCAGAGAAGAGATATTTAGGGCGAGAGATAGACACCTCGACAAGTAATTCAAATATAGAAACGCGGCACCGGAAAATTTCATGGCATCTGATAATAGGAAAGCCTTTTGCATCAAAGCAATGGCGCAAGACTCGAGACTGCGAAATGACCTACATAAAATATCCATTCTCGTTAAGAATCCGCCTGGAGGAGTGATAACTTCTGCGCAATCAACAATGAATCAGCTTCTCAAACTCTTGAAAGCGATAAACCAAATCTCATAGTTCAGATAAAACACGCTCAGATGAAGAGAGATAGGATGAGTGCAAAAGATCTGAATATCCTTACAGTCGCCACTGAGGCCTTGCATGTCCGTTGTGACATTGATCGTAGGAAATGCTTCCTTCAGTGTAGCTTCCAGAGAAATAGCATATGGATGGTCTTTGGGTTCCCAGAAGGAGAAGCCGGCTGTGAAACTATCGCCGAAGCAGAGGACATGAAGGGCTGGGGGCATTATCATGGTGTTGGTTCTTGATGAGTGATATTCTAGCGAGTGGGGACTGGGTCGAAGCGAGGGAAATTGGTGTAATCCAGCAATGGGTCAAGGACGAAGATCAAGTAATAGCATAGATGAGATTCAACTTATTCAGAAGATAAATTTACTTTGATTCCTAATTTGATGACGTGATGTATTGTAGTCGAGTCTTCAGATCATCTGAATAACTGAGACGTTACGAGTAGTAACTTGCACTCCGCTTTGAACCTCCCCCCGTCTGCAGGACACCGGAGTGGTGTGTGACTAGCCGAGCTAGCCCATCAAAGCCTACAGTGGCGGAGACGAGACCCTCTAGGAAAGTGGGTTGCCGGGCAACAGCGGGGACAACAACAATCCACCCCAATCTCGCCCATTGGCCCACGTCAAGGGCCTGAAAAAGCTCCCCCTGCGCCGTGCTGCGCTGTACAATCCAACCTCCAACTTTCATAACGCGACGAATTTTCTCAACCACGCGCAATTGCTCGCATTGCTGCTTAATACCAATACATTGGAGGTCCTGAGCATGGAATTACGCATCACGACTACGGCCACACAGAACGACAATAATTTGCACTATTTATAACCTACCGATACCAATACCAATACCACCACCACCGATCTAATCCCCAACCCCCAATTAATTCGCTATGGCTGCCGCATCCCCAACCCCCATGGGCTCCTCCCATTTTGGCTCCCTCGTTCGACGACCTTCTTCACGACAAGCGCCCTCGTGGAAACAGTCCTCACGAATACAGACATCGAGGCCTACAGCGGCTGCGGAAAGTCATGCGCGAACCTATTCCATGGACAGTTCGGACGATGAAATTCCGGTTCCCATGGTGCTAAGCGCTCTAACAAATGCATTGCTCAATGATGGGGGACCGACCGAGGCACAGTCACCCCCAAAGCCGTCACGAAGAAGCGCGTCTCCCAGCGAGGAGCACAGATTTCGAAGGTCGGGAAGCATTGCTCACGAACGAGGTTCGGGTTCGCCTGGTGCATATCCACGGAGGGTTGTGCGATTGAGTGGCGGAACGCCCTCTTCTTTTCGCAGATCAGGTTCCCACCAACTTGGCTCGAGAAAGAATAGCGAACAGCCATCCGCTGTCGAAGCTGAAAGTCCAGTCGACCTGGAAACACCGGCACCAGCTGTAAGAACAGTACGACTACCCGCGACCGCAAATGGCAGCCATGGCAGTCATGGTAGCCACGGCTCCTCCTTCCGAGGCTCGTCGAGTAAACTCTCGAGTAGGACAGACTCGGCTGGTCGCAGTGAGCGGGAGGCCTCTGCATCGCAGGAACACCCAGGAACAGTGGCAAGATCACAATTCGCTGCCAGTCAAGGGAGCGTGTCGAGGTATGGGTCTTCAACAATTGGGCGCAGGAGACTAGGAGAGGACGCTGGGCTACAAAGCTCGATGCGCAGTAGGCAAGTGACGGGAATGCTGTTGCGCGGTCCAGTACGAAGGGGAAAGCGTCGAACAGACGATGAGGAACAGAGTCCAGTGGATGAGGACGGGGAGGGGTTGCATGGGTCAAGATCAAGTCAGGAACCTCAAAGTCAGCAATCACAACAAGAATCACAGAGCCCAGAGCCATCATTCACTCAGGATGCCGAACCAAACCGTGCTTCTCTATATTCATCCACCTACAGAGATTTTGCGTCAGGAAGCCCTGTAGCTTCAAGCCGACAGGACTCCAAGGACATCCTCGGCTCCGTACTCAAATCCAGATCACCGCCACCTACTTTGGATAGTGCTGAGAGAGAAAGTTCAGATGAGAGGCCCCCACTAAAACCAGTCCAACAACCGGCTCAGCCTATTTTCAAAGTACCAGCACCACGGCCAGCTCTGCCTTCAGCACATGACCAAGAAAACGAAGCTCCACCAACATTCAAAAGGAATAAGCAGGAACCTATGATTGTTACCGAGAAGCCTTTACGACCTGAAAGTAGGGACTCAGAAGCCGTACTCCAACAAGTTACTACATCTCCATCTAGACATGCCTTGGCGCATCGAAGTCAAAATACTCCACGGAGACCAGCACCACCACCTCCCAAAATGTCAATCATTGATACGGCTACCAGAACTGCTGGAGCAGCTACGACTTCAGGTGCTGGTGCAAGGAGGAATCGCGTAAAGATCAATGGAAAGATATTTACAAGATTAGATGTTGTTGGTCGTGGGGGTAGTGCCCGAGTATACAGGGTTATGGCAGAAAACTCGGCAATGTTTGCTTTGAAGAAAGTCAATCTAGAGGATGCTGACGAATCAGCTGTCATGGGGTTCAAAGGGGAGATCAAGCTGCTTGAGAAGTTAACGGGTGACGATCGAGTAATTCAACTCATTGATTATGAGGTGAATGATGACAAAGGGGTTCTCAGTGTGGTAAGTGATACATATCTTCAAGGTCTGCTGTTCACTTTATTAACAAAGCACAGCTTATGGAACTTGGTGAATTGGATCTGAAAAAGATGATGGATATTCGAAATAAGAACGAGCCTCAAAAATTCGACCCCAGCTTCGTGAGGTATTACTGGAAGGAAATGCTTGAGTGCATCCAGGCCATTCATCGACATGATGTAGTTCACTCGGATTTGAAGCCAGCCAATTTTGTTCTTGTCAAGGGGAGACTGAAGTTGATTGATTTCGGTATCGCCAACGCTATTGAAACCGATGAGACCGTCAATGTCCATCGAGAAAATCAGATTGGAACGCCAAATTATATGTCTCCTGAATCCCTCATAGATTTTAACGCTACCCCCGATCATCGAGGACATATTCAAAGCAACGCTCCGAGACTCATGAAATTAGGCAAGCCTAGCGACATCTGGAGCTTGGGCTGCATCCTCTACCAACTTACTTACGGCCGACCACCATTCGACCACATCCAAGGCATGCTCCCTCGCTGTCAAGCAATCATCAATAAAAACTATGCTATCAAGTATCCCGCAACGGGAAGTGGTAATGTCCCCGTCCCACCGGGACTTATCAAGACGATGAAAAAGTGCCTGGAGAGAAATCAATTCAAGAGACCAACGGCTACTGATCTTCTTCTTGAATCGGATCCTTTCTTGAATCCGGTGGAGATTGATGATGATGCTTTGCCTATCACCGAAGAACTTTTGGGCAGGATTTTGTTGAATGTTGCTAGTAAGATCAAGGATCATAGTCCTACGGAGGCGGAGTTGCTTAGTCTTTGGCCGCAGGGGTATTTTGATCGACTGAGGAAGAATATGAAGGAGGGAAGGCCGCTTTAGGGTTATCGCACCGCTTCACTCAGAGGAGAGGTGTTGTTGGATAGTGGGTAGGGGTTGTTATGAGGTACCTGTGGTGGTGGTGGTGTTGTTAGATTTATTTTAAGGGAGAGAACTATCCTGTTGTTTTTGAGCGTGTTGGTAGATTTAGTCTTTGGGTGTTTCCATTCTTCTTTTTCATTTGGCGAGGGATTGGATTGGGGTTTTGGGCGTTGAAAAGGATACTGTAACGAATTCTTTTTGATAGCATGGCTGCAAGGTAGCATTGTTCTGATCGATCTGCCATTTTTGAGAGGCTCTTGTTTGGAGGGGGGTGGCTATGCCCATCACAATATATGTTTTTATGGGGATGAGATAGATGCGTGCGGGAAATGAATGGGATGGGATGGGATGGGTTGGGTTGGATAGAAATTCAAACAGGTTGATATTATGGAAGAATATTCTCAAGTCCCTCTGCCTACTTACTACCTTGTTCTTTTCTGTAAAGTAAGCTTTCCCCCCTTCTAGTACTCGGTACAACGGTCCTTCTAGAATCTGGACTCCCGGGATTCTTCGTCATTAGCCGATCTCACTACCCCACCTTCTACCTTGGTAAGACTTACACTACTCACTATCTACCTACCAACGCACTACACCACAAGGCACGTACTCGACCACCTTCACGGTTCCAAACTGCAACATGGACAACGTGGGGAACGCGGGATACTGATCACAAGAAAGAGCCGGGTGAACGATGATGTCTTGAAGGGTGTTACACTTTCTTTACGAGCATGTTTGTTTCCGAGACAGACGTGGATTACCCATCTGACCGATCGGCGGCTGGATGGAACCTCGAGGGACTAAACTAAACTAGCTAGGTAAGGTAAGGGTAGGTAAGGGTAGGTAAGGGTAAGTCGGTACACAGCCGAGTCTTCGCAAGTTCGCACGCGATCGCTTTCGGGCCCTTTCTGCTGGGCCGGAATAAATACTCTAGAAACTGCTTGACTTGCCCTTTTTTGAGGGATTTTGGTTGGGTGGTTTGTCTTGTTTGGCATTTTTGGGAGTCGTGATTGGAATGTCGCTAAAACTAACTAGATGATGATGATGATGCGGCGCCGAGCTGGAACTTACCTACCTAGCTTACCTACTCCGTTAGGTACTCTACCAGTACCGGTACCAGTACCAGTACATCACCGTGCAAGCTAGGTACTCTCTAACTAAAGTCTAAAACTAAGCTTGCTTGTTAGGTTTGGGTCTCGGGTTTTTCTCATCCGACTATCGTTCACAGCCTCCACCGATTTTTTGGTCGATGGGAACGAGATGGACCTAGAGGTACCACGGAGGTATGGCTGGAGATACAATAGAGAGTCTGTAGCCTCGATTACTTCTCGAGATTGAGACGGGGATTTTTGTCGTCCTTATTTCAATTCCGAAGAGGAAACTAGGAAAATCGACTGTCCAGTATCATACTGTTTATGCACGCCCATCCCATCTTCTGCTGCATGTGAGCTGCATATCGCAACAGTCCAATTCCCTGTTTAGAGACGCATACCGACGCAGGGACCCGACCTCCCTTGCGGGATTCCTCGAGTGAATAAAGATCGCTTGTCAGCCGGCCTGAGGTATTTAGCTACCTTTCGTGAGCTTTTGAGGTTAGTTTCATATCTACGAATACTTCACTTTTTGGGAAAGTTTCTCTGCGGTAGTTGTACATCTTTTGATGGTCGAGCACATTACATATCGTTTTTCGAGCGTTTTGAGTTACTGGGACACAGATATTACATCATTCCTCGAGTTTTGAACACTTCCTTTTAACCGACAAGATGTTAGATTTTTGGATTTCGACTCCTCCCCCCTTTTTGGTCGCTTGTTTGGGATATGACTGATATTGATAATAGGGTCTCGCGAAGAAGAAAGGATTCAAATTCTTTTCTGCTATCTCAGAAGTCTAATAGTCTTCTCTTCAGCCATCATCACTCACTCCCAGGCTGCATTCAAACGAAGCACTTCAACATCCTCTCTCAAATCGATGGAAACACACCTGCTCGTCCAGGAGAAACCATGGCCATTCCATCATTACAACCAGTCTCGGAGACACTGATCCCCATCTCGAAAGACGACACCCAATTCATCCCCACCTCGCGGCAAAAACAAACCATCCGCTCCCTTATCCCACCCGTCATTCCAAGCCGTCTTAAATCTGGAGGCCACACCCTCACCCTTAGAACCAAACGAAGAAACTCAACTTCCTCCTCCATCCAATCCGTAACCTCATCCCTCCTATCTCGCCCCCGAAAAACCACTCAGACGCCCACCCCCTCCCTCGCCACCCTCCCCTCCGAGCTCCTAACAGCAATATTCACGCACCTAGACCAAAGGAGCCTCCACGCCCTCCTCCTCACCTCCTCACACACCCTAGAAATCGCGGCCAAATTCCTCTATTCACATCCCCAATTCGCCTCCACCTACCGCTTCGCACAATTCAGCTTCGAAGTCTCTCACCACCCGCACTACGCAACCCTCGTACGAACCCTCGACCTCTCCTCCTTCCACAAACTCCACCAGAACCCCGAGAACCAGGAACTCTTACCACTAGCCGGCTGGCGAGAATTCAAGTACCGGCACCAGGACACTCCCTGGCAACGCAGCACACCATTTTTACAAACCTCCCACTTCGGCAAGACCTCCACACACCTCGCACCGTGCCCTTTCCTCAAATCCTACCACCGCACACGAGACATCCCCATCGGCGCCCTCTGCCACGTCCTCACCGCCTGCACCTCCCTCAAAGCCCTCAACCTCTCACGCCTCCAACTCGCAGGCGACTTCCTCGTCGCCTCCCCCTTATTCCCTCCCACCGCAACCACAAAAATGGTCTTCGTCTCCGACGTCCCCAAGAGCTGGACGTGGGCATCGGACGATTTGAAGCCCGTGTACGCGGACGATATCATCCGGGCGATTGTGGGCTTAAGCGAGTTGGAGGTGTTGAAGGCGAGGGCGTGTATGTGGTTGACGACTTCGCGGGTGGAGCGGTTGATGCGTGGTGCGAATCGGGGGACGGGGGAGAAGGGGGGGTTGAGGAGGGTGGATTTCAGGGAGAGTGGGATGCAGAAGGGGGTTGGGTGGGCGATTAA